ATCTTGTAAATTTAGTTTATTTTTTAATGTATTATCTTGTAAATTATTAAAACTATAATATATTTATAAAAATAAATTCTTTTATATAAGAGAAATTAGAATATAATGTGTAGTTTTCTCCTATTTTTATTTATAAATTTTTAAATTTTATAATGTGAAATCATGACAATAACACCAATCAAATTATCCAACTTTGACATACACATACGTTCGATTTAGAGAAATGTTTTTTTGCTAAGATCTTGGTATTTTGTTTTGTTTTTTATAGGATTTCTACAGTTATTTTTTCTTTAAAGTTTATGTGTTTAAATATTTAGTTTTTTTATTGAATGTGATATTGTGTACATATGCATTTATAATTCATGATTCATGTTGATTCGCATTTAGTTTTGTTAGGAAGTTGCAATGATCATGCAAGACCATTTCTTTCTTCTTCATCAGGTCATCCATGAGTTTTAGCTTATATCTTTATTCAGTTTTCATTGAGATCTATTTTTTTGCAGTCTAATATTTGATAATTTTAGTTTTTATACTAGTAGGATCGACGTTGTGGAGTCTTCGCATTATCTTTCACTATTTTTATCTTTTGTGTGCAAACTGTATGCTTTGACTTGAATATTTTATTTACAAATATCAAATTGAGTTTGATTCATAACTCTCTCATACTTTATTATTTAAATAGAATTTTAGAGCGTGTTACTCATATGTTATTAATGTTGGTTCAGATATAAGTAGTGACTATGTATAAAAATCAGATTTTAGAACTTGTTAAATTTTGAATGTAAGGTTATTTATGTTGTGTTTTCATTTGTTAGTTTTTAAAATCTGAAACACACAGTGTATTAATCATTGTATATTTTACTTCTGTAAAGCTATTGCAACTTTAGATAGTTATTTATTGTTAAATTATGAATTTCTTGAAACTAATTTCAAATTAATTTTGTTATAATTTTTAATATACTTTACATCTTTTGATAGTAATTTTATATTTTTTTTTGTATGTTTGATATACTTAGGACTTGTATTTATTTTTATTAAGCTCTTTTGTTGTTTCTAACAAAATAAATGACATAGACATCAAGTTAATTTCTTTTATACGAATATTTTTTCTTTGTTAAATTTGTTTTTTATTTTAATTTCATTTTAGTTATAATGCTCATTTAACATGTTTTAAATATTAAATTTAATTTTTTATGAACTTTTCTCAAAATATTATAGCATCATTTTTTTAGTTAAGTTTTTTTATGTTGATTATTAAAAATGTTAGCCCAAATATAAAGTTAGTAAATTATAACATATTGAAAGCTAAAAAACATAAATATTTATAAAAATGTTATAAATGTTTATGTTTTTTATAACATTTATAAAATTTATAAAAAAAAAATTGAGACATAAATTTATAATATATTGAAAGCTAAAAAACCTTTTTATAAAAACATGTTTAATTTCTCATCATATCAGAATAGCCTTAAAACAGTTTGGTTTGATATTTAAAAAATCCACAACAGAGAATTGAAGTATGGCAGATATATGCATGAGAGTGTACTTACCATGTCAAATAGTCAGTAGTTCCTTCAATATTTTTTTTGAAAAAAACATAAACATAATCATAAATATTTATAAAAATTATAACTTTTATTTTAACATGATAAATTATATTTTTATTTTTTTATCATCCAAATCTATTTCTTCGAACTTGGTATGAAATGCTGATATAATTTTTATACAAATATTTATCTGGATAAAATATAAAATTATAGCATGAATAAGAAATTTGTCATCGTATATTATCATTCGACTTACTACCGGAATAAAATAATGTAATTAATATTATCTTCACAATGGCAAACTATTATTAGAAACTTGTAAGCCTTATTTAGCGCATAACTTCTTTATTGTTTCCATAGACCTGAGCCACCTACTACAATATTCTTCTTTCTCCGTCTCTCGATATTCGCATGTTATTCTCATGGTCTCCATAGGCGTACTCTCTAACTTCAAATTAATTTCATTTTAATAATTTTTTTATACTTACATCTTTTGATAGTAATTTTATATTTTATCTTCACTTATACATTTTTTTTATATACTTGATATACATAGGACTTATTTTTATTTTATTAAGCTCTTTTGTTATTAGTTTTCAAAACATGTAGCATAGACATCAAGTTAATTTCTTTTATATGAATACTTTTGTTTTTTAAATTTATTTTTATATTAATTTTCAAGTTAATTTCTTTGTTTTAGATATTAAGTTAATTTGCTTTTACGATATTGATTTTTGTTTTGTTAGTTTAACTCTTTTGACGTTAAATTTACATTAAATTTGAAGGATACTATATTTTAGTTTTTAACATAATTTTATTCTCTATTTGTTACTTAAGCTTTTTTATTATGACTAGGTATATAACTCGCGTTACGCGCGAATCTGTATTAATATTTTGGTTTAATATTTTTAGCTACTATCTTTAAAATTATTAAAAATATAATATATTTATATAAATTTTCATTTATATAAGAGAATTTAATATATAATATGTAATTTGTCTTATTTTTATTTATAAATTTTAAAAAACTATTAAGTAAAATAATAACAATGATATCTATCGAATTATCCAATTTTGACGTACATATACATTTGATTTAGAGAAATATAACCTTGCTAATATTTTGGTATTATTTTCTGTTTTCCATAGAATTTCTATAGTTCTTTTTTTCTTGAAGTTTTATGTGTTCAAATATGTAGTTTTTTATTAAAAGTCTTATTGTGTACTACTGCATATATAATCTATAATTCATGTTGATTCGCATTTAGTTTTGTTAGGAAGCTGTAATGATCATACAAAACCTTTTTTTCCTTCTCCATCATGTATACCAAGAGTTTTATGTTATACTTTTATTCAGTTTTCATTATTTTAATTGTTAAATAAAGTTATTGTAGATTTTTTTAAATTGATAATGGTTACTTTTTTAAAAAAACATGTATTGTGAATTGTTAATTTTTTTATTTAACTTTTAAAATTTTAAACCATATTAACATTTTCTGATATAATAAATATGTTGATTTGGATCAATCAGATTAAATTTACTTTTTTTCCTTATTTTTTCATTATTATATATTAAATAAATATGTTGATTTGGATCAATCAGATTGAATCAGATCATGCAAAACTATTTTTTCCCTTCTCCATCATGTATACCAAGAGTTTTATGTTATACTTTTATTCAGTTTTCATTATTTTAATTGTTAAATAGAGTTGTTGTAATTTTTTTTAAAATTGATAGTGATTACTTTTTTAAAAAACATGTATTATTAATTTTTTTTATTTAACTTTTAAAATTTTAAACATATTAACATTTTCCGATTTAATAAATATGTTGATTTGGATTAATCAGATTGAATTTACTTTTTTTTGGACATAATTCGTTAAATTAACTTTTAATATTTTAATTATAGATAATAATTTTTGGTTTGATTAAAAAGCTGATGTGGACCAATTAAATCAAGTTTTTTCGTTTTAATCATACTTAACATTTTTTATTTAATGAATATGCTGATGTGGACCAATCAGATCGAGTTTCTTAATCCCATGTGGACGCCTTCAATGCGCTATGCCTTCAACTTTTATATATTATATGATTTTTCCATCTATAAAACAAAATTAATGCTTTTTATTTCTTTATTAATTAATTTAGAAGTTAGAAATTTTCTTAATCTATATTATAAGTTTTATCTTTTATGTTATTGGTTTTTTTGTTAGGTTAACTCTTTTGACATTAAATTTCCATTTAATTTTAAAGGATACTATATATATATATTTTTTTTACATTAATTTATTTTCTATTTGTTACTTAAGGTTTTTATTTTGATTTTTCCATATATAAAACGAAATTAGTGTTTAGAAAAAATAGAAATTAATTTTATAATATTTTAATCAAATTTAATATTTTTATGTTTAATGAAAAACGCTGATGTGGACTAATCATATTGAATTTTTTCACCTTAATCATACTTAACATTTTTATGATTAATAAAAAATGATGATATGGACCAATGAGGTTGAGTTTCTTCTTTCTATGCCATCAACTTTTATATATTATAGATGATCGGAGAGAAGTAAAAAAAGTAGAACATAAATTGAAGCATCCCAGGGATATAAAATCCGACATGCATGCATCATGCATGATCTTATACAGGCCATGTATAAAGTGGCTGTTATGCGCGGGATAATAAACTTACAGAACTGGAAAAAGTTTGATATTAAGAGTTAGATTTTATTATACAAATCAATTTTATCAACACTCTACTGAAAACTTATATTATTGAACGTCCGTTTCATTATCGTTTATATAATTTGTTATATGTGGCGCTAACGTATGTTTTTATATTTGACGGATCTATCGCCGTAAGAGGTATCTCCGGCAACATCGCTGCCGAAGAGCATATAAGACGTCGTGGCGTCCGTCGAGAACTCCGACCACCGAAAATAGAGGCTCCGGCTCCGGGCTGATAGGAGCTTCTTCGAGATTCGGGAGAAAAGCTGAGATATTGTTTTAAAACCCTAAAATTGCTTTACGGAGAGAAAATAATCAAAGACAAATAATAAAACCCTTACGCACCAAACTCTGCTGTTTCCTCGGGGATCACATTTAATGGGAGATGCAATCAAATGTCAAGTTTCCATATCTTTTAGCAAAATAAAAATAAAGTTTTCATATCCCGAAAAAGCTTGAAACTTAGGGACCAAGTTATCCTCGATTATAATATATATATTTCCTTTGGTGACAAACTTCAACTTTGAGACCTCTCCTCCTTTCTTAGCTTTGTCAATCTGAATCAATGTCTTCTTCGACCAGCAAACACGCCGGTAAGATCCTATCTAACCAATATATGAAAGATTTTAACTTTTTTCTTAATTTTCTCATCACCTTCATTTTCTTAATGGGTGAATTTGGTGAATAACCAAAAAAACAAAAACTAAACAAAAACTTCTTCAGGGCACATTACTTCTGGACTTCGCCCTCTACACATAATATGGGACTGGGAATACTGCCCAATCCCATATTCGACCTCAGCCAAAGGTTTATATGATAAGGTCAGTAGCTTCTTCAAGGCGAAGAATTATGAAGTATGTGGATTTGAAGGCTTTGGAGATACAAATAAACTGAATCATTCGAAATATGATGAACTACAAAAGGAAGGCAAAATCATATTGCATCATATCGATAAATCAGAAGGTAACTATTGCACCACCTTCAATAGTTTAATTATTTTATTTTATTAATAATTTAGTTATTTTTAACTTTGGAGCAGCAAGGTTGACATTCCTGCAATCTCTTTGCGATATGTTACCTCCTTCTCCTCTCGTTATCATCACTGGAAATCGAAATTTTCTTGGGATCTTTCAAGCTTTGAAAGAGAGGAAGTTCGGTGTATATTTGGCTTACAACGACTTAGATCAAGGTTTGTTCATGTCTCAAGCCACAAAAGCCTGGCATTATTTTGATCTATTTGGCATAGATTGGGTCAAACGTAAAAAACGGAAGGTGGGAGGTAAAAAAGAGAAAGGCCTTAAGGATGAGAAGGGAGAGAGAAGCTGAGGCAGAAACCGCATCGGGAGGAGGAGCACCTGAGGCCGAAGAAGGAGAAACATCTGAAGATAGAAAGAAGGCGAAAATGGTTAAAAGCGAGAATGAAGAAGATGCAGAAATGTGAAAAGAGAAAGAAGAAGGCGAGAGTAAGCAAGGGAAAACGAAATGTGCAAAACATGCGGCAGCAAATTAGTTTGTTTTTAATTAATATTTATTCCTTTTGAAGATGGTTTAGTTTTAACATTTAGACAAAAAAAAAAGATGGTTTAATTTTATTTTATTTTAAATGGTTTTAGTGGTTTAAATTTAGAGTGAAATCGGTTTGACCGGTGTAGTAACTTTGAGATTCAGCACAAAAGCTGAGACATTGTTATAAACCCTAAATTCCTTTGAGAGAGAAGAGACATATTAAACGATATACAATAAATTCCCTTTAGCTTCATAAATCATAATACAAACCAGAAAAAAAAATTAAGATCGAAGAAAAAAATAGAGAAGTTAATTAACTCTTTTTTATAAAGTAATAAAAACTCTTTCCAAACACACAATTCATAACACCTCCTAAATTCCTTTTAGAGAAAAGAGAATTAAAGACAATAAACGATATACACCAAAACTCTGCTCTTTCCTTTGGGATTCACTTTATTTCCATATGTTAGAGATCCAAGAAATGTAAAATATCTTTACAATCCATACTATTAATCAAGAGGTTTAGTTTCATAACTATTTTTTCAAAATTGTAAACCCACAAAACCAGAAAAAAAATAATTAATATGGAACTAAATTCGGATTGAAAAAAGAAATAAAAAACAAGAGGTTAAATGCGGTGAGCGTGGATCGAACACGCGACCTTCTGAGCTATCCCCGCTTGATGTATTAAGAAGTATGCATCTGTTTAACTATCGTTTTCTAAGTCTTGTTACTTCAGAGTTCTTTGTTTACTAACAAAGTCGAACTCCTTTATTTTATCTCAGAATATCTTGAAAGATATCAACATTTCTTCCAGAAACAGTTGTACGAACAAGTTTTCGAACTTATTATTATTTGGTGCTTTGAAAATCTAATTGGTTATTGAATTTTGGTCCTTGCTATCTAAGACTCTTTATTTCTATTGACGTTGAAATTGTTATAAGGGATCATGATCTGCACCTTCTAAAGAATACAAGTTTCTGATATTTTGGATTTAAGAGAATTTCATTGGTTTAAGGGATGAACCATGTAAGCAAACGACCAAAATGCTTATGTTCATATCTTTTTTTCTCAATAGATGTGATTTATTTTCTTCTGCTCACGGAAATATGAAAATTTCCAACAAACTCAAGCAATTTGGTATCTCGTTTATTTCTTTGGTCGATATTTAGAAATAGTCTGCTCTCTAACTTTTCAAATGTAAAAAATTCCTTCGCTGGTTGCATTATCCCTATCTTTGTAATAAGCAGAATTTTTTTTTGATGCCTTCTATTAAACTTGTGTAAATATCACATAAACTAGCGTAATTTGTAAATCAATATATGTCTGAATTAAGTTGTCAAACATAGTCGCCTACAACTGCATGCCAGGGTTCATAATAACGAGTTGCCCCATATTCTACAATACAATCTGAATTTTGTGGATTCGTCTTCATTATCAGCTCTTCACCGCAGTTTGGGCACTCGAAGTAGAATCTAAAGATTTGAATCCCAAGATATTTCTGCACATCGAAAGAAACTAAATTGATTAGAACAATTGAATAAACCAACACAGAAACTACTGATATCTAGGGTTCCAGAGCCTAAAACAACCGCAAAATTTCTCGAAACCCTAAAAAACCCATACCTAAAATCCGTTTTCAAGAGGTGAGTTTCAAATCATGAACTTCCTAAGCATCCGCATCGAGATTATACACACTAAGAGGTACACAGATTACGCAAGAAATCAATTAAATTGAAGAAGAGAATGAATAAATATCAGAAATAAATTATACATATATTACCTCGCCAGTGACGTCTTCTCTACGCGAATTGAATTTGGATCCCTTGAAGATATAATATCCGCAGATATTGCATCGGACACTAATGGGAAGCGTCATACGAACCATTCGGTCTCCCATCTCGTCTCTTTCTTCTTCCTTCTCAAGCCTCTTCTTCTTCTACAGTAAAACCTTTATAAATTAATAATGTTGTCTCAAATTATATTAATTTATAAAGTTATTAATTAATCTATACATTAATAATTATTAATTTATTAATAAATTAATAAAATATTAATTTATAGAGATATTTTTAGTTTGAATTTTTAATATTTATCAAAAAAACAAAATCAATATTTTCAACAATGTTAAATTCATTCAAAAAATGTCATAATAATAAATTTAGAAGATAATTCAAACAATTTTCATAAACTTGAAACAACAATATTATTATAGTTTACTATATTATATTATTAATATATACCTAAATTTATAATTATTAATTTATATTATTATTGGGACCATATTTTTATATAGAATTTTTTTAAAAAGTATTATTTTATTATTTTATCGAATTTTGTCAATTTTTACATTGGTCCGACTTGAAACAGGCAAAAATTATTAGTTTATAATAATTATTAATTTATTAAATATTAATTTATAGAGGTTCTATTGTATTACACTAAAGAAAGGAAAATTAAATAAAAGAGGAAAATTCTCGTTTTGGATTTTAGGCTTTCGTTTCTTTCAAGGCCCTTTTTCTCAATATTTATAGAACTATCTGACGCACCGCCACGAGAAATCGGGTTATGGGCTGGAGTTATCGGGTTATATTCAATTTTTGGGGCGGATCGAACCCAATTACCGGGTACCGGTGGCTCGGGTCATATAGTGATTTAATTTCTCTTTAGTAACCTGTATCGGATGGGTTTCACGGCTGATGAAAATTTAATTATGGTTTTATTTTACCAAATGAGATGGTTTTTTTTTTTTTTTTTTTTTCTACGGCGAGATGGTTTTATAACTTTTATTTATTATCGTAATAATTGAGGAATTCCTAGAAACTAGGTGAGTATTGAATAATACCATACTCATTGACGATGTGGTAGCAATTATGTTACAGTGTTGTCAATTTCTTCCACATAACCATATTCTAAACAAAATTGAGTTTTTGTTTATATCCAAGGAGTTTGACGATATTATGTGATGTCATATGTCATGACGTCTTGTGTTATGTACTTTCAGCACATCTCAAACTCATAGAGTTCCGAGCTACACGGAAATATCAGACGAAGAAGAAGACTGTGTTGAAGTATTGGTGGCTGAACTAAAGAATATTTCTCTGCTCAAGGTTTGTCTTTTTGTTTGGTTGTTGAGGAGATGAGTAATCTGTTCAATTGAGGAGATTGGTGACGACTTGCTTAGCTCTTTATTAAACCATTTGACATAGTTCTTAAAACAGAATTACTTTGGTACAGGTTACTAATAGACGTAAAATAGAGCTCAGTTATTTTTTATTTATTTATGTAAGGGGACTGAAGTTCTTTTGGATAACGTAAAACACTCAAATCTCCCTATTTTCTTGATTTTGCCTCAGTTTCGAGATATTAAATTACAACAAATATATTTTCCACTAGAAGTCATAGTTGCAACCACAACATTCTTTCCAAACCAGACAAAGCTGTATAATGTATTGATTCCAATTCGTTTCAAGGCAGACTTCGTGATGCCTAAGAGCTCATCTAATATTTCCATGATATATTGTTTTATATATAAATATGATATGTGATTATTGTCTAAATTATTTCATTTACGATTTTGATTAGTGTAATTTGTACTACAAATGTACAACACATAATATTATCAGTAATTTCTTAAATAATCAGCAGCACTCAAGTTGAAATTTGGGATACATATCTAAACTTTGAGCCAGAATCTACAACAGAGATCTTTTCATCAAATTCGGAGATCATCCACGATCCAGAATATTGTAATCTTCATTCGTTTGAATCTCTCGATCTACTTTTCCATCCTCTATTCCTGACTCTTTTCAACAAGTGTGTTAAACAAAGAACCTCATTTTTATAAGCTGTTGACAAGTCTTTAACAATGATAAAATTATAAAGGAAGTTCAAAAATTCAGTTCAGAAAATTAAGAGAGTTAAAGAGAGAGAGAGAGATGAGCATCATCAATTCTTCCCCTTCTTGCCATGGTGTTCGGCAATTGAGCCTGCTCCCTTCTTAACTTCAGCATGTTGCAACATTTTCTTGAGAGCGTCCCTGGATCGTTTCACTTTACGACTCTCCCTGTGGAAACTCAATGGGTACAGTTTGTCGTCATTTGAACTTGGCACAAGGTCCTGCTGCTGATCTGCCATTGCACTCTGATGCGGTTACAAAGATCGAAGATGCGAGTGTAGCAGCAACGAGTAGTGGTGAAGCGAAAATTCATCATCAAAGTATCTTAATATTAAACAACCTTCTCGTTCATGATCTATTTGTTAAATGCAGAGCATACCTTTATTGGGATAATGCAGCTTTGGTGACACATTTATTATCTGAGGATATTCCTTTAACCATAAGAGTCTGTATTTAGGACAGCATAACATATCTGATCAACTCCGATGGAACTACACCAGAAATGGTAATTATACGGTCAAAACAGGCTACTGGCATAACCTAACTTTCCTTTGTACAGCTCCGATTTTACCTTATGAAGATCCTTAACTTAAAAAACAACTATGGAAACTTAACATTATGCTTAAAATAAAGCACTTTGTTTGGAAGATACTGTCTAAAGCCATGGCAACTACTACGAGACTTCACATGTCCTGTTTCTTTATCCGTTTGGAGACTATCCAAAACATCGTTTAGTTTCCTCACTATTCCCTCTCATGACACAGAAGACATCTTTAAAAATTTACTTGATCTCCAAACTCACAATGACATTAACAATGAGGTGAAAATACTGCTCTTCTGGATCATGTGGTGTATATGGAAATCCTGTAATGATCTCATCTTTCAGAACAAACGTATTAAAAGTGTTAAAGATGTTAACAAGGCTAAGGCGGATGTCGAGGAATGGCTGAAAGTTTCACCAACAAACTCCACTGTCTCTAATCTTCTGCATGATTTACTTCATGGTGTTGCCCACCAATGGGTTTCTTAAAGTGTAACAACGACGCAGCCTTCACACATCAAACCCAACAAGCTAGAGCTGGATGGATTGTTCGGGACTCTTTGGGCCTTTCCAAATATTGGGGATCATCCAACGTCGGATACACCACATCAAGCTTGGAGGCTGAAAGCAAGGCTTTACTTGTGACACTACAAAATACATGGAGCATGAGATATATGATCAGCTATACTTCGAAAGTGACTGCAAATTACTGGTGGATTTCCTTTTAAAAAATGAGAATGATATTAATATAGGCAATATTTTAATTAATATCAAATCTTGGTTATCTAGATTTAAGCATATTTATATTACTCATGTTAAACGTAATTGTAATGAAGTTACTTATATGTTAGCATCTCAATCGCTTTCTAACAATGTGTTTGAATCGGGCACAATCATCCCTGGAAATCCGATCAATAACATTTTGTATTCAGATTTTTTTAAATTAATATAAACCAATATGATTTGACAAAAAAAAATTATATTAAAGTAATATTAATTATTGTTGAGAACCTCTCTTTTGACAGACTCATGGTTAAATTGCTCTTATCAACTTCCGTTCATCCTTTGCTTTCTCGAGTTTAGGTAACATCTAGATCGATCTGGGCCGCAAAAGTGTTGGGCTTAGCTCACATAGATGTTCCGCTATGCGTTTTGGACAAAAAAAAAAATATGTATGTATTGCAAAATCTTGGGGGTGAATTTCGCGTCAGTCTCTTACTTTCTAACTAGCAGTAATGATTATTGTAAGACGTGATTTTGTTGTTGATTAAAATTTAAAATATGTATGTCGCTTAATTTTATGAATGATATGTGTGACACTAACCCTAAAGGACCATACAAAAAGGAGACATGAACATCGAAGTTGGTGGTTTACTTTCTCCTGGAGTGGATTGATCCTGTTGTTTCTTTTACGACAAATTACATTAAGAGTAGCTTGCCAAGCAAGTATCAGAACGTTTTTGGATGGTTTTACTGATGAGAGATGGGATTAAAAATAATAAACTTGACTAATAAAAAAAGAAAAAAAAAAGGTAGATTGATTCGCAACAGACCCATCTCTCTCAACGTCTATGACTAAAGAACGAAAAACGCATAGATAGAGCACAAATGACAATGCCCAGTGCTTCTTCTCCGGTCTTCATCTTCCCTTCTGTCTCTTTCTTTTCTCTCTCTGTGTTTCTTCCTCCCTACTCACACTACTGCCCATGTCTCTTTCTCTTACATCTTCCCGATGTTGTGGTTTTGGCTTCTCTCATAATGACATTTAGGCTGCTCTTGTTCTTCAGAGATGGAGCAGAGATGCTTGAATTAAGTTTCTTTGCATGGGTAACATTATGATCAGCCAGATGGTCTACAAAGGCGTAATCTCCACTAAGATCCTCTACATGATCTAGAACGGTGTGAACTCTATGATCTAACTCTTCATCGTAGTCTCCAAAATTTTGGATATCAACAAGTTTGAGAGTATTGTTTTGGGGATTGAAGTTGCATATCTCATCGAGAAAACAATTTCTCCCGTAGCAGTCACTCCAAGGAAGGAAACATCATTACAGTCAATGAGTTCATTATCCGGCATAGTGTAGACATATTCCGACCATTCCTGTTTCTCAAAATCCTCTAGAACTCTCATCCAAATACACGCCTCACTTGTATACCCATTAAGGTTTGGGTTAACAAACTTCCAATGAATCCCACCTAATTTACCCTTGTAGTTTATCAGTTGAAGTGGGGATGCCTTTTCAAGTTGGGAGGGGAATTCTGGGTCCATAAACTTGAATTTCTCAGACCTAACATCAAAACAAACTATTACAATACAATGGTTTCGGATCGCATTGTAATACAAAACCCCCTTAATGCATATCCCTTCCAGTAAAGGAATATGGTGTGAGGGACATTGGATCTTCCTCCAACTTCTTTTTCCACTTTCCAATGTCAGAATTCTATGATCATCTCTTTTTTCATATGGACGAGACAGGGACAATACCTTGAATTGCTTGTCAGAATTCTATGATCATCTCTTTTAAATAGCTTCTCGACTTTATGTACCTTCTCAGTTTAGGTAAACTGGCACACTGTCCTGTGCTAGGGTTACATATCACATGCACTGTCTCCTTAAACTTGTTTGAAATCTGCATACAATGATGTAAACAGAACAAACCAGAGGTATAGCCACCAAAGCTTAGACACGTGTTTTCAGGGAGCTTGATGTGAAAATCGGCGGCTATCACAAGAGACGACAATGGCTTCTCATATGGAGTTTGAGGCTGGGACGATGAGTAGAAGATCAACTCATCTTTTTCAAATCTGTTGAGGGCGAAGAACAAGAGACGTGGACGAGCCCAGTACCTGGTCAGGAAACACTTGGTGAGATAGGGACGGCGAAGCATTGACCTCCATAGCTTCGACACGCAACTAAGCCTGGCGCGTGACTTTGAAAGCAATCTCGAGAATATATCCATAACTAGATCATCCGAGATGGAGTTCATGGTCGTTGTGTATTTTGCTGATCGGACGGGGAGAGATTTGATGTAAAAGTTGAAGCTGCTTATTATTATTTAGAAGACCTAGAGATAAGACCATTCATTATTAATTATTTATATATATCGTGACTAGTAAAAGTTACCAATAGAAATTAAGATTTCCTTATATATATATATTCTGACCATTCCTGTTTCTCGAAATCCTCTTGAACCTCATCGAAATACACGCCTCACTCACTTGTATACCCACGAAGGTTTGGTTCACATAGGAATTTTGCAAAAATGACGCATAAATTCAAGTTAATTGCTAAACTAACTTCCTATTTTACCATTTTTGAAATTAACCATTTTATCTTACTTATATCTTTATCAGTTCTATTTATTCATGAAAATACCATTAGATTATTGTTTTTATTATTATTTCGGAAATCTATTTTACCAAACAATCCTCATCTTCCTCACTTATTCACGAAAATGCTATCACCATCAATTCATTCAACCACAATTTTCAACCAATTTGAAGCTTTTATTGCTTCAAAGACCCATTTTTTAGCTTTGTAACCCCATTTCCTCTTCCCTTAACCTTCTACTCTTCTATTTTTTCACCATTTTCAGCACAAAAGCTCTCTAATCTAAATTTTTGAAACTTGATGTTTTAACATATTGCCATATTTGGTGATTTGGTCTAGCAAATCGTTTGAGCTTGTTTGGTGGTGGCTGGAATCAAAGATATCGGGAGTTGAATAAGTTAAATACCACTGGTAGGTGATTTTTCAATCAATTTTCGTGAGTTTTCAGATCTGTGCCGCAAAAGTAGACTTTTTAAGAAGTCTACTGGTCAACACACAGGTTAGTTTTGCAATTGACCGGGTGTACCAATTTCTGACGGTAGACTTCAGTTGAAGTCTACACCATTTCCTTTGACAACAAAAAAAATAGTGTAAACTTCAAAAGAAGTCTATGTCAAAAAGGGTTAGTTTTGCAATTGACCAACCTTTGACTTTTTCGTAAGAAGTCTACTCGCAAAAGTAGACTTCTTCGGAGAAGTCTACTTTGAACTTAGACTTCTTAGAGGTTAGTTGTGCAATTGACCAATGTTGACTTTTTCGAGTAGACTTCGCTTGAAGTCTACTTTTCCGAGTAGACTTCGTTTGAAGTCTACTTTCTGAGTATACTTTAAAAAAAGTCTACTCGAAAATAAATTCAATATTTGGTCAACCCCAAAACTAACCCAAGTAGACTCGTTTGAAGTCTACTTTTGAAGTAGACTTCAAACGAAGTCTACTTTGAAAAGTCAACATTGGTCAATTGCAAAACTAACCTCTAAGAAGTCTATTTTTGCAAGTAGACTTCTTACGAAAAAGTCAAAGTTTGGTCAATTGCAAAACTAACTTTTTTTTACGTAGACTTCTCGAGTAGACTTCTCGGAGTGAGTAGACTTCTTTGAAGAAGTCTACACATCTTTTGGCAATTGCAAAAGTAACCTAAAATATAAACTTCATACGAAGTCTACATTTGTAGACTTTATTGCAAGTCTACTTTTGTAAACTTCGTTGTTAGTCTACTATTTTATTTTTTTATAAACGCGTTTTTATCAAATTTACAACGAATTATTAAGATTTTTTTGGTCTTACGATTGTTTTAGTAAGTGTACTTACATTTGTATCAGTTTTACATGTTTATATTATATATATATATATATTTGGTGAAATCAAGTTTCTTGTTTTATTTGGTATTTAGCTTATTAGTCCGTAGACTTCGTTTGCAGTCTGCGATATTAATTTTTTAATTAAATTAATTGATCAGATATTTGTAACAAATAAAATTTATTTTTTGACTCTTAAGTGTGTATTATTTATTGTTCTTACTTATGTAGGAGTTTGACATGTTTATTTGTTATAGTTTAGCTTTAATTAATTTTCTTGTTCTAATTGGTATTTAGCTTATTAGTCCGTAGACTTCACTTGAAGTCTACATAGTAGACATTGTTTGCAGTTCGCGATATTAATTTTTTATAAATTTAATTGATCAGATATTTGTAACAAAAAAAATTTATTATTTGACTCTTAAGTGTGTGATATTTATTGTTCTTGCTTATGTATGAGTTTGAAATTTTTTTTTGTTACAGGTTAGCTTTAACTAATTTTCTTCTTTTATTTAGTTTGAAATTTTCTACTTTTTCGATAATGATTTCTAATGTGGTTTGAATTTTGTTTTCTTACACAGAATGGTTCACATACCCACTGTTTATTGAGAATGTGTGAAGAAAGACTAGTTGTGGTATTTCTAAGTAGTTTTACATGTTTTTTTTGTTATGAGTTTTACATGTTTTTGTATAGTTAAATTGAATTAATTTTCTTGTGTTATTAGAGGTTCAAAGATGGTGATGACTAAGTCTGACAAAGAAGTCTACATATAAAATCTGAATATGATAAAACACACATAATTTAAGAATATATAAAAATAACATTAATTGCAATCCAACTTTACATATAAAGAGACCTTCTAATCAAACAAACATTTAAGGATCACTAATTATAAATCTTAAAATTAGCATATAAAAACAAAATGTCTGAAATAGATGTATGTGACTGAAGTCTGCTCGAGAAGTCTGCTCGAGAAGTCTACTCGAGAAATCTGCAGCTGAAGTCTGCTTCCAACAAAAACAAAAGAGAAATAAATAAGCTCAGGTATGCACAATAAGAAAAAAATATGTTAAAATTCATATTTCAACAAATATGCTATATTTACAAACATCATATCTGCAGCAAAAGGGAAAAAAAGAAATCAGCTATGCAACAAAAACAATTATAGATCTGCAACAAAATAAACAAAATTCAGATCTGCAACAAAATAAACAAAATCAGATCTGCAACAACTAAAAATTCAAATCTACAAAAAAAAAATCAGATCTGCAACAACAAAAAAATCAGATCTGCAACAAATTCTACAAAATTTATACCATAAGAAGCGCATATTTGCAAGAATAAACTCAGATCTACAACAAAAAACTCAAATATGTAATAATAAACTCAGATTTACAATATGAACACAAAACAAACAACAAAAGAAACACAAAACCTCAGATTTGCTTACCATCACCATAATTGAGATAGAGAGGATGGAGGATAGAGATGAGTTTGATGGCAAGAGAGGAAGGAGAAGAGATTCATGGCCAGAGAGGAGGTAGAGGAGAGAGAGGAGTTTTTTAAAGGGAGAGAAAAATTTTATTTTTAACCCAATTAGGTTAATCTCCTTATATATGTAGGAAAATTTTCGGTTAAGTAGACTTCTTAAGAAGTCTATTGGAGAAGTCTACGTGAAAAGTCTACTTCGGTATATTTTTTTGATTTTGATTCCCGCCTAATTTGTTCTGATTCCCGCCAAATTTGTTAAATAATTTTGATTTCCCGCTATGTTTTTTTAAGTCTACTGAAGAAGTCTACCCGAAAAGTCTATTGCATACGTATGTTTTCTGTAGTAGACTTCTTTAGTAGACTTCTAAGGGGTTGTATGTTTTCTAGTTAATTTTTTTTCTGCATTTAAGTTGATTTATTTGTATGAAATTTTGATACATGTCAAATATATATGTCTTACTTATGTTTACCAATTTTTTAAAATTTTATTTATTTTATATTTTCTAATTATTTTTTAAAAAACTAATTATATAGTATACTTCTTTTGAAGTCTACAACGATTGTAGACTTCTTACGTAGACTTCTCGAAGGATAACATCGTAACTGTGGCAGACATTTTTTGTTTAGTCACAAATGACTGAGCTGTAATTTCACTATCCCTTTGGGTTAGTTTTGCCAAACATTCAATAAGAAGTATACATATTGAGAAAAAATTAACTTTTAGATTATAAAGAGGAATTTCCCCAGTTCACATTGCTTATATTCATATCTTTTTTTTTTTCTCAATAGATCAATTGCTTATGTTCATATCTGTGTGATTTATGTTCTGCTCACGGAAATACGATAATTTTCAACAAACTCAAGCAATATGGCTACCCTCTTACTTTTCAAATTTAAATATGGCTCACTACATCAACATTAAAAATTTCCTTCTCTGGTTGCATTTTCTCATCTTTGTAATATATCTCAAGTTCGTCTAGTGAGGCTTAAGATCCTATTTCTGATTCCGCTGGGTATTCACAGTTTAAAAAAAAAAGAGAGTGTTCCGCTGATTTGAAACAAGTCTCTTCACTTGCAGAAAAACTTTGGTTACTATTATTCTTAGTAGATAAAGAGAGTTTGTCTTGATGCCTCTATTAAACTTGTGCAATACCGTAGCGTAAGTTGTAAATCAAATAATCAAATACCATGCACGAAAAAGAAAAGAAATATTAAAAAAAACTATATATATATATATGTCTGAAGTAAGTTCTCAAACATAGTCGTTTGCAACTGCATGCCAGGGACCATAATAACGAGTTGCCCCAGATTCTACAATATAATCTGAATTTTGTGGATTCGTCTTTATTATCAGCTCCTCAGTGCAGTTTGGGCACTCGAAGTAGAATCTAAAGATTTGAATCCCAAATTATTTCTGCACATCGAAAGAAACTAATTTGATTGGAAAAATTAAATTAGCCAACACAGAAGAAGAACATCAAGTTTAACTATTCAAGCGGTTCGAATGATGTTGTTATGGTAAAACGAGAGACGAGACTAGTAATATCGATCTAGGGTTCCAGAGCCTAAAACAAACCGCACAAATTCTTAAAACCCTTAAAAAACCCAAATCTAAAATCCATTTCAAATCATGAACTTCCTAAGCATACGCATCGGTATTATACACTAAGAGGTAATTAATAGATTACGCAAGAAATCAATCATATCAGAAATAAATTATATTTAATTACCTCGCCAGTGACGTCTTCTCTACGCGAATGGAAATTGGATCCCTTGAAGATATAATATTCGGCAGATATTACCTCATCATACGAACGATTCGGTCTCCCATGTCGTCTCTTTCCTCTCTTTCTTCTTTTACACTAAAGAGAGGAAAAATAAAAAAAGAGGATTATTCTTGTTTTTGATTTTAGGCTTCCGCTTATTTTTAGGCTCGAACCCGCACCGCCACGAGAAATCGGGTCATGGGCTGGAGTTATTAGGTTATGTTCGATTTTGGGCCGGATCGAGCCCAATCACCGGGTATCGGTGGCTCACTGGCTCGGGTCATAGAATGATTTAATTTCTCTCCTAATAATAACCTGTATCGGATGGGTGTCACAGCTGTTGACAATTGGTTGTATTTTAACTAGGCGTGGACATTTCGGTTTAAGTTCGAGTTTGGTTCGGGTTTGGTTCGGTTCGACCAATGTTAATTTGGTTTGATTTGTGTTCGGTTTGATTTAAGTATGGTTTGATTTACTTCGGTTCAGTTTGGTTTTAAAATTAATTACCACAAATTAATTTATAAAACATAAAACAAATATTCAATAATATTAACAAATCGAGGAGTCATTTACATGTAAAGGTACTTTCAAACTTCAATGTTACAAAAAAGGCACTTTGAACTATCGAGTGACTTTAAACACTATTCAAAAAATTTTAATACTAAAATGTCATTTTTCTCTTTCTTTGTCTTTTGTCGATGGAGTTTGGGTTTTTTTCACCCTTCTTCTTCTCTTTCTCTTTCTTTCTCCCCATTTCCAGCAACAACAGTTTCTCAGATTTTATATAAATCTTCACACACTTTATGTCTCCTCATTTCAGGCTATCTCTCTCTTTCTATCTCGCCCCCATCAATCTCAATTTAACAAATTGATATGGATTCAATTTCTTCATCTCTTATGTTCTCTCCATATCTCGATCTCGAAGGTGTCGTTCACTTAGGTCTAGAGTCTTTTAAGTTTTATTGATTTCAAGTAGGCACTGTAAATTTAAGCTGGATTTGAGTAAAAGATTGTTCATAGAAACTAGTGGACACGAGACCGTGGATGCGATATCGTGGACAAAGTATTTGGATGAAGATTTTGTGAATCGATAATTATGAATACTTTCTATGAAAAAATAATTGTGAATTGCTTTTAAAGTTCTTGGTGAAGATAACAGAGACGGAAGAGAAGGCAAAGGGTTGAAATCTTAGTATTTATATGTGGATGCATATGTGTAGATGCAATGTTATGGATAGTTGAGATTTAGTGGTTTAGATCTATGATAGATATACAAAAACATGTTTAGAGTGATGTTTTAGATCCAGATTTATTGTAATAGAAGCGTGGACAGACAAATATGGACACGATCTTTGAGTAGGTTCGTCGATATATCGATGTAGTAGTTGGTGGACAGCATTTTGTGGACAATTATCAATGGAAAGAAAATATGTTTGTACATTGTGTGGATATATAATTATGGAGATGAAAGCTGTTGTAGATGTGGATTTGTTGTTTTTGTGGACCTATAGTTATGGATACGAAAACTATTTACATATTTTTTTTAGGACAGATAATTATGGATATGTTGACAGGTATTGTTACAATTATTTTTATACATTTGGGGGTAAGGAGACATATGTTCGAACACCATCTATTGTAGCATTGACATTTCCAACAGAGGACAAATGTAAGAGTATATGATGTACACAAGAGGACAAAAGAAAAATTGTACAGTTTAAGTTATGGACTTGTGGATGGTAGCCAATGGACAAACATGGCCGTTATAAGTTGACCACACGAACTTGTCCATTATAATGTATCCACAATACTTTATCCATATATTCAGGTAGGTAATTTGATTGTTATCCACGGTTCTCGTGTCCATGGTACTTTGTCCATATATTAGGGTAGGTGATTTGATTGTTATCCACAGTTCTCATGTCCATAGGACATTGTCCATCTTTTGTATGCATGGATAGGAAAACCTGTCCAATCTAGATCCAGAAATTCGAGGATTTTGAAAACCCAGAACAAAACACTCATGACAAATCAAGAACGACAATAGAAAAACATCTGGGGAATAGCTATCAAAATTAAAATCTGAACTATGTATTGAGATTTGGAGGCACTAATATAGTATTGACAAGAAAGAAATCTGAAATTCAAAGACTAATGCATGAAAAGCAATGGCAAAACTCAGATATATATGTAGATCTATTATCTGTCATGTTAGTGAAGTCGGAAATGATCAAAGATGGAGACGACAAGGTGAAAGTGAAATTATCAAAAATAGAGGCGATAAAGTGGAAGAGATGAGAAAGAGAAAGGATGATTTATTTTTTGGAAACCTATAAATTTGATAAGTTCACGGACACTAAAAAACTAAGAAATAAAAGAAAGAGAATTCATTAATTACTAAAGATTGTTTAGTCTTTTTGTTTGGTCAAAGTATACCAATCTCTCAAAATGCTTTTAGATGTAATATAAAATTAGAAAAATATCTTCTACTGTAATTATCTCCAAATCGAGTAATATAAAGATGTATATATAATAAGTTGAATAAACTCTTTAAATAAATATGAAAATATAATGATAAAAATTGATATTAGTTAATTATAATAACTTATCATTAATATTAATTTGATATTAATAACTAATTAATAAACATATTGGATTTCAGTTCGATTCGGTTTAAAACCAAACCGAACCGAACCATTCGGATTAACAAAAACTCTAACCGAAATAATTAGGTATAAGCTATGGTTTGGTTTGGGTCAGTTTGGATTCGGTTGGTTTGGTTCTGTTCAATTCGGTTCGGCTTTTTTGCCCACCCCTAATTTTAACCAAATGAGAAATTATCATTGTAATAATTGTGAAATTTCCGGAAACTAGGTGAGTATTGAATACCATACTCATTGACGATGTGGTATAATTATTCTACAGTGTTGTCAATCTCTTCCACATAACTATTATAAACAAAATTGAGTTTTTGTTTATATCCAAGGAGTGACGTTATTATGTGATATTGTGATGTATTATGTCATGACGTCTTGTGTTATATACTTTCAGCACATCTATAACGATCAACGTGCACCACCACACAATTTTCAATCCTGTTGCCAATAATACTGATTGAATAGTCTACAGATTCCAAAATATACGCTATAACCTTGTGATATTTTTGTATTTTCATCTCTTAGGATATTTCTGAATTGAATTTGATTAATCCTACAATACACAACACTACAGTACAATGACCATTGACAATTGATTTATTTAACTTGAATTTCCTCCCACTTGACATCCCATTTCCAAGTTACACTAACAGCCACTTATCCTTAGCCACAGCTCGTAAATGCTTTATAAATATTTCTCTCTATATGGCATTGAGTACATAAATAAGTAGAATAACAAAATTTCTACAAAGTGCAAGAGAATTCTTCAGAAAGTCATAACTCAAAAAACAAAGAATATACAAATGGCTAACATTTGGCTTCTATCACTTCTCTTCCTAATCTTTTTTCTGGTTCTCGCCGCTTTCGAACGCTCAAAGAGGCGGAACCACCGAAAACCACCTTCTCCTCCTGGCTTTCCGATCATCGGAAACTTACACCAGATCGGAGAGTTACAACATCAATCTCTATGGAATCTCTCAAAGAAGTATGGTCCTGTGATGCATTTGAAGCTCGGAAAAGTCCCCACGGTCATCCTTTCTTCCTCTGAAACAGCAAGACAAGCTCTAAGAGATCATGACCTTGCTTGTTGTGGCCGTCCTCCCTTAGCAGGTACTGTAAATAATGTGACAACACCTTTCCAAAGTTTTTAAATGTTTACAGCATCATGGATCTTGTCTCACTCCACAGGGCCAAGAGAGCTCACTTACAACTATCTGAACATTGGTTTCTCTCCTTTTGGTGATTACTGGAGAGACATAAGGAAGCTCGCTGTTCAGGAACTCTACAGTAATAAAAAAGTTGACTCGACTCAACCCATCAAAGACGAGGAGGTCAAGAAACTGATTGATTCAATGACCGAATCAGCTTCTCAGCAAACTCCGGTTAACTTGAACGACAAGTTTCTTACGTTAACCGCTAGCGTGCTATGTAGGGCAGCGTTTAGTGTGAGTTTCGGGGACACTGTACTTAGCAATAACAATTTAGATAAGGTAATCCGTGAGGCATACGAGATGTTGGGAAGCTTCTCTGCCTCGGATTACATTCCGTATGTTGGTTGGGTCGTCGACCGGTTCACGGGTTTACAAGGGCGGAGAGACAAAAGCGTGCGAGATCTCGATGCGTTCTACGAACAAATGTTTGATCTGCACAAAGATGAAAAAGCAAGAGGGAGGGAAGATTTCGTGGATCTGCTCTTGAGGCTGGAGAAAGAAGAAACAGTTGTTGGAAATGACAAACTCACAAGAAATCATATGAAAGCAATGTTGCTGGTAAGAACTATAACGCTACATATAGCAAATTCGTATTGTTAGGGCCATATGATTTCTAATACTTTAAAAAGTATAATTAATCGATAGATTGATATTTACCAATTCAAACATATATTTTGCTATATATTTTTTTGTCTTTACATATTTCAACTTTAATCTTATTCGTTTATATTCATTACATAACATTCTTTTAGGACGTAATCAACTCGTCCGCAATTACAATGACATGTTCTTTGTGGTATTGTCACAGGACGTTGTTCTAGGAGGAATCGACACTTCTGCAATAACAATGACATGGGCAATGGCAGAACTTGCTAGAAACCCTAGAGTGATGAAGAAAGTTCAATCTGAAATCAGAAGCCAAATGGGGAACAAATCCAAGATCAGCTTGGATGACACGGATCAGCTAAGTTATCTGAAAATGGTGATCAAGGAAACATGGAGACTACATCCTCCAGCACCTCTTCTGGTCCCAAAAGAAGTAATATCTGAATTTGAGATCAATGGCTACACGATCCAACCAAAGACATTGCTTCACGTGAACGTGTGGGCTATAGGGCGTGATCCTGATACATGGAAAGACCCAGATATGTTTTTACCAGAAAGGTTTATTGACAGTAACATTGATACAAAAGGACAGCACTTTGAGTTGTTACCGTTTGGGGGTGGCCGCAGAATCTGTCCTGCAATCTACATGGGAACAACAATGGTGGAGTTTGGTCTTGCAAATATGCTGTATAACTTTGACTGGAACTTACCAGAAGGCATGGTGGTTGAAGATATAGACATGGAAGAAGCTCCTGGGCTCACCGTGAGGAAGAAAAATGATCTCCTACTTGTACCTGTTAAGTACTTGAACAGTTGATCGCTTAAAGTAAGTTCTTGATCGATTGTACCTTTTTTAAAAATAGAACAAGATCTCTTGTTCCTTTGTGTGTTGTCTTATTTATCGACGAATTGTTCCTCGAAATGTTAAAGAGAATTTCCAATAGTAATAATTTGTGTATGGTTTGTAATATCGGTTTCAATTCTATGTTATGTAATGATATCAAATCTGTGTATATATTTTAATATTTTATCTTCAAGTGCCAAGCAAGAACCAACGACTTGATCATTTATAAACAAGATCACGCTTGAAATTACGGCATGGTTTATAAATTATAATATGTTGTTGAATTGATGTTTTGATCAACATTTTTCAAACGTACTTTATTTTGATTAGGTGAGGTTAGTTTAAACTTATCAAATGAATGTTGTAAAGTTGACCTGTTAGTTGCTTTTTATTCGTCGTTATATATATTTTTTCCATTATCTTCAAGATGAAGATGTCGATCAATTGCTATCTGAGAGGGATTGTGTAACGCTCCTGACCGTCCCTACTAGTGCAAAAAGATAAATGCACTTTGATGATATAGGTAGCCAAATTAATCTATTTAAATTTATTCAAATGGGTCGGGTCCGAGTCGTTACAATTCTCCCCCACTAAACGGGAATTCGTCCCCGAATTCTGATCCCGATAGCGTGAGCCTTAATCCTCAAACCCCAAGACAGTCTTTTGGGACAAAACCAGTTTGACTTTCCAGGCTCTGATACCACTTGTAACGCCCCCCGACCGCCCCTACCGGCGAGTCACCCATCCCTCCGTCGGGCTCGTAGGCCCCGCCCTTGTCCGACGGCCGGTGCGTTATTTTTTTCGGACTCCAACCGACTTATTTACTGACCCTGCAATCACCACATGATCTTGCTCCGTGTTTTGGCTTCACTCACACGGTTTCAGAAATCACTTCCCGAAAGGTCACCCATCCTAGTCCTACTCCAGCTCAAGCACCCTTAACTGTGGAGTTCTCTCGGGACTAGTGACCGAAAAGATAAGTGCATTTTTCAAACTTACTTTATTTTGATTAGGTGAGGTTAGTTTAAACTTATCAATGAATGTTGTAAAGTTGACCTGTTAGTTGCTTTTTATTCGTCGTTATATATATTTTTCCATTATTTTCAAGATGAAGATGTCGATCAATTGCTATCTGAGAGGGATTGTGTAATGCCCCCGACCATCCCTATCGGCGAGTCACCCATCCCTCCGTCGGGTTCGTGGGCCCCGCCCTTGTCCGACGGCCGGTGCGTTATTTTTTCCGGACCCTAACCGACTTATTTACTGACTCTGCAATCACCACATGATCTTTCTCCATGTTTTGGTCTTACTCACACGGTTTCGGAAATCACTTCCCGAAAGGTCACCCATCCTAGTCCTACTCCAGCTCAAGCACCCTTAACTGTGGAGTTCTCTCGGGACTAGTGACTGAAAAGATAAGTGCACTTTAATGACATAGGTAGCCAAATTAATCCATTTAAACTTATTCAAATAGACCGGGCCCGAGTCGTTATAATTCTCCCCTACTAAACGGGAATTCGTCCCCGAATTCTGATCCCAATAGCGTGAGCCTTAACCCTCAAACCCTAAGACAGTCTCCTGGGACAGAACCAGTTTGACTTTCCAAGCTCTGATACCACTTGTAACGTCCCCGACCGCCCCTACCGGCGAGTCACCCATCCCTCCGTTGGGCTCGTGGGCCCCGCCCTTGTCCGACGGCCGGTGCGTTATTTTTTCCGGACCCCAACCGACTTATTTACTGACCCTGCAATCACCACATGATCTTTTTCCGTGTTTTGGCTTCACTCACATGGTTTCGGAAATCACTTCCCGAAAGGTCACCTATCCTAGTCCTACTCCAGCTCAAGCACCCTTAACTGTAGAGTTCTCTCGGGATTAGTGACCGAAAAGATAAGTGCACTTTGATGATATAGATAGCCAAATTAATCTATTTAAACTTATTCAAATGGATCGGGCCCGGATCGTTACAGATTGCGCCTTGTTTGCATGTGAAGTTTGAGTGGAATTATGACTAGCTAGGAAGTGAAACTTTGTTTTTATATCTACATCTAGAAATGTGACGATATTTTTTCTATAAAAAGGAATGTGACAATATTATGTGATGCTATGTGATGACGTCTTGTGTTAATATTATATAGTTTCAGCACATCTATAACGATCAATGTGAACCACATATGAGTCCACACCAATTTTCAATCCTGTTGCCAATAATACATATCAGCATTATTTAGAAAATAAACAGGCTACAGATTCCAAAAGATATGCTATAATGTTGTGATATTTTTGCATTCTCATCTCCTAGCATATTTTATCTATTAAAATTGAATTTCTTTTACAGTTTTTTATGTCTCTTCTTTTAAAACGTCTACACACTACAATACAATGACCATTGACAATTATGTTTTATTGATTTATTAAATTTGAATTTCCTCCCACTTGACATCCCACCGTTTACACTAGCAGCCAATTATCCATAGCCACATCTAGTAAATGCATTGTAAATATCTATTTCGCTATTTGGAATTGAGTACATAAATAGTAAACAAAATTTCTACCAATTCGAAGAGAAATTTTCAGAAAGTCACAACTCCAAAAAAAAAAAAAAAATATGTACAAATGGCTAACATTTGGCTTCTATCACTTCTCTTCCTAATCATTTTTCTGGTTCTCACTGCTTTCAAATGCTCAAAGAGGCGGAACCACCGGAAACCACCTTCTCCTCGTGGCATTCCGATCATCGGAAACTTACACCAGATCGGAGAGTTACAACATCAATCTCTATGGAATCTCTCAAAGAAGTATGGTCCTGTGATGTTTTTAAAGCTTGGAAAAGTTCCAACGGTCGTTCTTTCTTCCTCTGAAACAGCAAGACAAGCTCTCAAAGACCATGACCTCGATTGTTGTAGCCGTCCTAACTTAGCAGGTACTGTAAATGTAAAGAATCTCACAACACGTTTGTAAAGTTCTTAAGTGTTTACTTAATGGATCTTGTCTCACTCTTCAGGGCCAAGAGAGCTCTCTTACAACAATCTGGACATTAATTTCTCTCCTTTTGATGATTACTGGAAAGACATAAGGAAGCTCGCTGTTCAGGAACTCTTCAGCGCTAAAAAAGTTCACTCGATTCAACCAATCAAGGACGAGGAGGTCAAGAAACTGATTGATTCAATGGCCGAATCAGCTTCTCAGAAAACTCCGGTTAACTTGAACGACAAGTTTCTTAATTTAACCACTAGCGTAGTATGTAGGGCAGTGTTTAGTGTGAGTTTCGATGATACTGTACTTAGCAATCACAAGTTATATAAGTTGATCGATGAGGCATACGTTATGTTGGGACGCTTTTCTGCCTCTGACTATATTCCGTATGTTGGTTGGATCGTTGACCGGTTCACCGGTTTACAAGGCCGGAGAGAGAGAAGCGTGAGAAATCTCGATGAGTTTTACGAACAAATGTTTGATTTGCATAAAGAGGGAAAAGAAAAAGGGAGTGAAGATTTCGTGGATGTGCTCTTGAGGCTGGAGAAAGAAGAAACTCTTGTTGGAAATGAGAATCTCACAAGAAACCATATCAAAGCAATCTTGATGGTAAAAACTATAAACGCTATGGTAAAATCCGTATGCTTAGGACTATGCTTTTTAATATTTTATTATATATACTACTAATTCATCGAAAGTTTAATTTTTATAGTTTGAAGCATAATTTTGGTCTAAAATTCTCTGCTTTTCTTGCCTTTACATGTTTCAACTCTAACTTTATTCATTGTTTTGAATTTCTATTCATTATATATACTAGTTTGTAGTATTATATATTGTGTAATATCTTCCTTTAGGATATGCCCATGGTAATATTCGGTTTTTACCGAAAATATGGAGTACTTTTATATGTTCTTGTAAATAGAGCTGCAGTTACAATGACATGTTGTTTGTGATTTTGTCACAGAACGTTCTTCTAGCAGGAATCGACACGTCTGCAATTACAATGACATGGGCAATGGCAGAACTTGCTAGAAACCATAGAGTGATGAAGAAAGTTCAATCTGAAATCAGAAACCAAATGGGTAACAAATCCAAGATCAGCTTGGATGACACAAATGAGCTAAATTATCTGAAGATGGTGATAAAAGAAACATGGAGACTACATCCTCCAGCACCTCTTCTTGTCCCAAAAGAAGTAATATCTGAATTTGAGATCAATGGCTACACGATCCAACCCAAGACATTGCTTCATGTGAACGTTTGGGCTATAGGGCGTGATCCTGATACATGGAAAGACCCAGAGATGTTTCTACCAGAAAGGTTTATTGATAGTAACATTGATACAAAGGGACAGCACTTTGAGTTGTTACCGTTTGGGGGTGGTCGGAGAATCTGTCCTGCGATTTACATGGGAACAACAATGGTGGAGTTTGGTCTTGCAAATATGTTGTATAATTTTAACTGGGAGTTACCAGAAGGCATGGTGGTTGAAGATATCGACATGGAAGAAGCTCCTGGTCTCACAGTCAGCAAGAAAAATCATCTTCTACTTGTTCCTGTTAAGTACTTGAACCGTTGATCGCTTAAAGTACGTTCTTGATCGATTGTACCTTTTTAAAAACAGAACATGCAAGATCTTTTGTTCCTTTGTGTGTTGTCTTATCGATCGACGAATTGTTCCTCGAAGTGTTTAAGAGAATTTCCAATATTAATAATTTGTTTATGTTTTGTAATTTCGGTTTATGTACAAATATCAAATATGTGTATATAGTTTAATATTGTATCTTCAAGTGCCAAGCAAGAACCAACGACTTGATCATATATAAGCAAGATCACGCTTGAAATTACGGCATGGTTTATAATCTATTGTATACTTATTTTGACTTTTATGTCATGTCATTTATAATTTGATATTATTATATGTTTTGAACATCTCTGGAACTTATTGGATTTTTTGTCTTTACCAAGCCTAAAACACTTTCCTTACTTTTCAAGAAAAGAGTCTCGGCTCATTATTTTGATTGGTTGAGCTAAGTTTAAACTTGTCAATGAATGTTGTAAAGTTGACCTGTTAAGTCGAGTCTCGGCTCATTATTTTTATTCGTCCTTATACCTTTTTTTTTCTTTCTTTCTTTATCTTCAAGATGAATAATCAAATCCATTGATCAAATTATGATCGTTCAATCTGTGAGTATTCAAGAAATGAGTGGAATTGGAATATAAGTGAACTTTGGTTTAGCGTTTTTGGTAAACCATTTTTTGAATGAATTTAAAACACAGATACTATGTTTGCTAAAAACTTAAGCCTTACAGAAATCTAATAAATAATTTGATCATGGATTATGTTTGCTAAAAACTTAAGCCTTACAGAAAAAGGGAGTGAAGATTTCGTGGATGTGCTTTTGAGGTTGGAGAAATTATTTTATTTTCATTATTTTCTTCTGTTTTCATCAAAATTATCATAACGTGTTTTTTGATCCAATTGTTTTGATAACTAGGTTTACAGCTCGCGTAGCGCGAATCTGTATTAATAGTTTTATTTTTTTTTTTTTGCTACTATATTTTAAATTATCAAAACTATAATAGATTTATAGAAATTTATTTTATATAATAGAATTTAAAATATCATTTACAGTTTTTTCCCATTTTTATTTATAAATTTTTAAATCTTATTAAGTAAAATAATAACAATGACACATATCGAATTATCTAACTTTGATGTACACATATATTTGATTTAGAAAAATATTTACTTGCTAAGATCTTGATGTTTTGTTTTGTTTTCCATATGATTTCTAGAGTTTTTTTTTCTTTAAGGTTTACATGTTCAAATATTAGTTTTTTAATTGAACGTCTCATTGATGTTGTATACCTATACATGTATAATTTATGATTCATACTTATTCGCATTTAGTTTTGTTAGGAAACTGCAATGATCATGCAAAGCTGTTACTTGCTTCTACTTCAGGTCTACCACGAATTTTAACTTATATTTTTATTCAGTTTATTATTTAAATATTTATTTTTTTGCAGTCTAATATTTGACAAATTTAATTTTGAGACTTGTAGGATTGATGGTGTGGAGTTTTTGCATTATTTTTTACTATATTTATCTTTTGTGTGCTTTCTGCATGTTTCATTTGAATATGTTAGCTCCATATTCATAAATCTGTCATACTTTATTATTTAAATAAATTTTAGAATATGTTACTCATATGTTATTAAAGGTTCAGATATAAGTAGTAGCTATTTAAGTGTAAAATTACTTATGTAGTGTCTTTCTTTATTATTTTAAAATTAGAAACACACAATGTTTTAATCTTTGTATATTTAAAAACTATATTTGATCTAGAAACTCATGTAAACTGATTGCAATTTTAGATAGTTATTCATTATCGATACCACTATTTTAAAAATCAGAATTTTTTTTTTAATACATGTATTTTTAATTTTTTTTATTTAACTTTTAAATTTTTAAACCATGTTAACATTTTCTGATTTAATAAATATGTTAATTTGGATCAATCAGATTGAATTTATTTTTTCTTGGTGGAAATAATTTGTTAAATTTACTTTTAATGTTTTAATTATACTTAACAATTTTTGGTTTGATAAAAAGTTGATGTGGACCAATTAAATCAAATTTTCCCATCCTAATAATACATAACATTTTTTTATTTAATAAATATGCTGATGTGGACCAATCAGATCGAGTTTTTTAATCACATGTGGACGTCCTCAATGCACTATGCCTTCAATTTTTATATATTACTAAGCTTTGAACTCGCGCTACGCACGAGTCTGTATTAATTTAGTTTAATTTTTTGGCTAATATCTTTTAAATTATAAAAATATAATATATTTGTATAAGTTTTCTTTTATATAAAAAATTAAAACATAATATGTAGTATTTCCTATTTTTGTTTATAAAATTATAAATATTATTAAGTAAAATCATAGTAAAATCATTTGCTTTTTTTAGTTAATATTTATTTGGTAGTTAGCCTAAATATCAAGCTAATTTTACTTTATACGACTTTTTTCTTTGATAATTTACCTCTCTTGATATTGATTTTTATTTTATTTTAACACACCATTGTTTTTAAAATATTGATATTTTGAAGACATAATTTTTTTGTTAGTTAAATATTTATATGAATTTTTTAAGTAGTTAGTCAGATATCAAGTCAATATATTTTTAAATTTTTTTTAAAAAGTAATATTTTGTATAATTTGATTTTCGTTTTAGTTTTTTAGTTAATTAATTTCTTAATATTGATCTCTTAAATAATTAGCTTAAATATTTATATTATTTTTGTTAGTTAAGTTTTTTAGTATTATTTAAGTTTTTTTATTCTCTTACTTATTCTGTTTATATTGATTTTGTTAAATAAATAACATAGATATTAAGTTAATATCCTCTTTTTTGTTAATTTAACTTTTTGATATAAGATTTCATTTTAATTGTATTGACATGTTGTAAGAAATAATTTATGTTTTGGTTAATGTTAATTAAACATTTTTTATATTACTTTCTTCAGCAATTAGCATAAAATACCATTTTTGGTTTGTTAAGATTTTTGTGTTAATTTTTTAAATATTTCCCCCAAAATTATAAATTTTAGATGATTTTTTTTTTGATAATTTAAGATGAATGTTTTTTTGGTAGTATTGATATTTTTAAATAAAAATTTAATATGTTTATATGAAAATTTAATCTTAATATTTTTTTCTAAATAAATTACTCATTTAAAATATATATGCTAAATGTTTTTTTTTAATTTAACTTTTTGTTATTGATTTATATATTTGTTTTTGTTAGTTTAGTTTTTGTGACAATGAGTTTCCATTTTATTTCCACAATAAGTTTAGACTTTTGACATAAATTTATTTTATTTAGTTAAAAATTATCTTTATTTTCCATTTTATTGTGATAATTTTATATTTTTGTATGTTTTAATTTATTTAAATTATTAATAATATTTTTATTTTTTATGTTTAATGAAAAACACTGATATAGACTAATCAGATTGAGTATATATGTCATATGTGGACGCTCTCATTGACCTAAAGACCACAAATAATATATTTTAAGTTAGCAGTTCAGATTTTAATTGTTTGTCGTGATTAAAATTTTAACATAATTTAATTATGGTTTTAAATACAATTTTTAATAATTTTGTTCAATATATATGATTTTTCTTTCATAATCTATTTATATGTTAATTTACCTTTTTATTGTTAATCGAAAAATAAGATCTATTTTCAAAACTCTTTTTATTAGTAACTAACTTAAAATTTAGAAACTTTCTTAATAACAACAAAAATAAAATTAATTAAAAATTTCGAAATTTTCTTTATAACAATTAAAACGAATTAATTAATTTTGATATACAATATATAATTAATTAAAAATAATGATGATGTGTACCAATAGAATTGAATTTTTAAATCCTATGTGGATACACTTAGAGACATTTAGCATCAATTTTTATTAGTAATATATATGATTTACTCGATAACCACTCATTTTTAGGTTACCCGTAAAAACAATTTATATTTTCTAAATTATTTTGATTTTAAATCTGATTAGTGTAATTTGTACTAGCGCAGCTACGGAGTGCATCGACTATGTATGATCAACACGGAGTGAGTCAGCTCTGTACAGTCCCGGTTCGACCGTGGGTACATCTCTCACACATGTAACTGGGAACTCCATGAGTTTGAAATGCTCGCCTCACTCCACCTCAGCATGCAGCATAAATTGAAATACATAGCTGAACTCAGTCATGTAGTGATATTAATTGTCGTAAAAACCTCATCAATATCTTGGAGATTCATCTAAATCAGAAAACATAATCATCAACACCACGTAGAATTCTTGAGAACTGGATCAACAACTTGGACGAAATAAATAGGATTCTACTGGATCTAACAAAAATCACAATATCTCTAAAATAGGAATTGGATAAGAAATCCGGAATAACACTTAGATTCCTGATCTACATGTTAATCTGTGATTTTTACTACAATTTTTTTTTTAATAGTTTTGACTAAGATAATTTAAAATTCAAACAATTTGGAAATATAAAAATATATATACTACTTTGATCATTATACAAAACACATTAAAAAAAAAAACTAAATAGCAAGGTGTAGAGAGCAAACTAAAATATATAATCTAATGTCAGATATGTATATCTCTTATCCATAAATGCCAAGCAAGAACCAATGACTCGAACAACATGATTAAAAAAAGTATATTAATCAATGTCACATTCTTACCAATTCCAAATGATGACTTCTTCTATCATTAAACAAAACCCATAAAAGAAAGAAAGACAATGACATTGGAAGGTTCCTACCAAATCCTGCATTTATTTAAACAAAATACATCAGTAAATTACGAAAATTTCAAAAACCAAACTACAAAATTGGAACAACAGAAGATTAAGATTAGTCACTTTTCTCATCATCATCATCATCATCTCCACTAACCCTTTGGGCGTGTGGTCCGACCAATCTGCAGAAGTTAAGTGCAAGAAGAACCGAACAAAGTCAACCAAATACGGATACATGTTTTGATAATAGAAAATTGTTCGGTGCTTCATATGGACGAACAAGGTAAAGGCTTAAACAAAGGACTCTCTGTTTTGACTACTTCAACTTATTTACAGAGTCCCATGGAATCTGATTGTGTCCCCACTACCTGCTAAGAAGTCGTACCCTCTATCATCATCAGCACAACAAAAGTTACCTTTAGTGGGTTCCAACTTCTCTGAAACAGAGGACCAAGTGTGTCCTCTAAGTCTTTTTGCTAGATCAAGTAGAAGTTGGAGACTTGGTATATGCAGAGTGAGACAACATCAGATTTGAACAAATGGGATGTCGGTAAGACCATTTCTCTCAATCTTTTCTTGTTTCCTTTTGCACCTTCTTGATCATTTCTTTTTTTGAATCATCTCGATTTCTCAAAACCAATCAAATCTCTCACCCTTTCCTTTTGTTTGTACAATCTCAGACCCAAGAAGATACAGGCACAACCCCTGATACGCTGATTGGATCGTTGTTGGGGTCCATTTCCAAGGTAATCAGATCTTTGGAGTTGTTACAGTCAGAAACAGGGAGCTTTCTTGAATGTGCATGCTATTTCTATCGAGTTTCAGTAGTGTTAATGGAGATACAGACAGGAGAGAGCGGAGTCATATACTCAACCAATGTTCTTGAATCACTATCCGAGAGTATAGATGCAGCCAAGAATCTCGTTGACATGTCTCAAGAAACCAACGGAGAGGAATCAACTACTGATCTGAGAAGCGTTGAGGCGGGTTTAGGAAGCGTTGTGAAGCAGATTGGTGAAACTTTGCAGTCAATACCTGAATCAGCAATCGACGATGAAGAGTATATTGGAGTGGTTGTTCAGTCTCTTTCAATTGAGATGCAGAACGCTAACATTGGAGATGGTAGTCAAAGTGGGATCATACAGAATTTGCAGCTGAAGATTTCTCCACCAGAACTAGTGCCAGAGGAAATAGACACAGATCTTTATCCCACTGATCCTGAGTTTTCCTATGAAAGTTACCTCAGTGAATCCCAATCACAAATGAGTGAAATACCAGACATACCAAGCCAGAGCAATGTTAGCAGCCAGAGGAAGTATGAATCTCAATCACAAATGAGCGAGATACAAGACGTACCAAGCCAGAGCACAAACGTTAGCAGCCAGAGAAAGTATGGACAACTTAGCGAATCCTTGTCAATGTTACCACAGGTGACACAGTTCATGGAGCCTCCATACCAAGCTTTCATCTGCCCGTTGACCAAAGAAATAATGGAAGATCCAGTCACCACAGAGACAGGAGTGACCTGCGAGAGAAAAGCAGTAACAGAGTGGTTCGACAAATTTGGAGACTCCGATGAGATTAGCTGTCCGATCACGGGACAAAAGTTGACCACCAGATTAAGTGACAATGTTGTCTTGAAAACCATCATTCAGGAATGGAAAGTAAGAAACGAGGCAGCAAGAATCAAGGTGGCTCACGCAGCTTTATCTTTAGGCGGTTCAGAAAGTATGGTTATCGATGCATTAAGAGATCTGCAAATGACCTGTGAAGGGAAAGAGTACAACAAGGTCAAGGTCCGAGAAGCTGGGATCATTCAGTTGCTTGACAGATACATGACGTACAGAAGTAAAGATGTGAGATGTGAACTGCTGCAGTTGTTAAAGACACTCGCAGACGAAGACACCGATGAGGGAAAGGTTTGGTCTCTTTGTCCATCGAATTTATAGATGTTAAAGATATCAACTACTTAAACTTGAAGCTTAAACACAGTGCTTTGCTAGTTCTTGTTTCAGTAGACTTTAATATTTCAAAAGTTATCTTACAGGAAATGATTGTGAAGACGATAAATATGTCATGCCTAATCAAATTTTTGGGAAGCAGTCACCAGCCTGTAAGACATGCAGCACTAGCCTTACTGCATGAGCTTTCAAAATCTCAGTATGCCTGTGAGAAGATTGGGACTGCTAGAGGCGCAATACTGATGTTAGTTACCTCAAAGTATAACGAAGAGTCGGATGCCTTTGCTTCTGAAAAAGCAGACAAAATCTTAAGAAATCTTGAGAAGTTCCCTGACAACATCAAGCAAATGGCAGAGAGTGGGCTATTAGAACCTCTTCTCAACCATCTAGCAGAAGGTAAATCTTTACCGCTTTATTCTATCCAATGTTTATGAAGTCAAATGATAAAAAGGTAACCGATGTTGATTAATTTGGAACTATATATTTGGAGTTCTTCTAAAAATTAAGCATATGGCAGGGAGTGAAGAGACGAAGGTGGTAATGGCTGCATACCTTGTGGAAATTGATATAGGACATGAGAAAAAAACTTATGTAGCTGAGAAGGCTTGCCCTGCGCTTGTCGAGCTGGTGCAAAGTGAAAACATTGAGGCTCGAAGAGCAGCTTTCAAAGCTCTTGCTCATATATCTTTGTATCACCCCAACAACCAGATACTGGTAGAAGTAGGCATCATCAAGATCTTGGTCGAAGAAATGTTCACCAAGCGGATGTTCAGTGATCTGATGAACTCCAGGAATGAAGCTGCTACGATACTTGCAAACATATTGGAATCTGGAGTGGAACATGAGACCTTTGAGGTGAATACTCATGGACACACATTAGGCTCGGATTACTTTGTATACAACATCATCCAAATGCTCAAGAACTCAAGCCCCGATGATCTTAACATTGATTTGATCAGGATTCTCCTATCCTTATCCAAATCACCAAGAGCAATGGCAACTATTGTCTCAGTGATTAAAGAAACCGACGCAAGTTTTGCCATGATAGAACTCATCAACAATCCTCATGACGAATTAGGGGTTGGAGCATTGAAACTTCTCATAGCACTAACACCTTTCATCGGTCACACTTTATCCGAGAGACTATGTAAAACTAGAGGCCAGCCAGCGAATCTTATCCAGTGCCCAGCAGAAGCAAATCAGATAACGGAGAAGCATGCTGTTTCAGCCAAGCTACTCGCTAAACTTCCTCATCAAAACCTGACTCTGAACCTAGCACTGGTCAACGAGAGCATAGTGTCTGAAATTCTGCATGCAATCCATCTGATTCAAAGAAGTGGAACAAGAACAAGCAGGTACGCAACTGATTTTCTGGAGGGCCTCGTTGGCATCTTAGTGAGATTCACAACCACACTGTATGAGTCCCAAATGATGTACCTAGCCAAAAACCATGATTTGACATCAGTGTTTGCTGATTTATTGATGAAAACATCAAGCGACGAAGTTCAAAGGTTATCAGCGACTGGATTAGAGAATCTATCATCTACAACTATTACTTTATCTAGGCCACCACAAGCTAGGAGCACGAAATTCATGGGATCACTGAGTATTGGTAGGTCATTCTCACTCCGTTCATCAAAGAAGAAGCCAATAGAGATCTGCGCAATCCACAGGGGAGTATGCTCTGCAAAAACAACATTTTGCTTGGTTGAAGCAAATGCAGTCACAAAGCTTCTAGCATGTTTGCAGAGTGATAAAGTGGACGTGGTGGAGTCAGCATTATCAGCTATATACACGCTATTGGATGATAAGGTTGATGTAGAGAAGAGTTTGAGCATGCTGAGTGGAATGAATGCAGTACAACTTATTCTAAATGCAGTCAAAGAGCACAAGAAAGAGTCTCTGTTGCAGAAAGCATTTTGGATGATTGACAAGTTTTTAATTAGAGGCGGAGAAAAGTATGCAATTGCCATATCACAAGACAGGATGTTTTCAGGTATGTTGGTTAGTGCCTTCCATCGTGGAGATGGCAACACAAGGCAGATGGCAGAAAATATCTTGAGGCGTTTGGACAAGATGCCAAGTTTCTCTATCTATATGACAGAAAAAAATGAAATGTGAAAGCCCATAAGGCTGTGACTACTATGATTTATTGATTTCTTTGTACTCACTGTGTATAAAAGTTTTCAGTTTGAATGTGATTTTACGTTATGATCACAAAATAAGACGAAGTAGTTTGATATAGAGAGTTTCATTGGCAGCCAAAATGAATTCTTGTATCGCCATGATCACAAATCCGGATAGGTCTTACCATCCATGTTCTCCATCTTTGTCGATCTTCTGGTCGAATTCTTGTTAAAGTTTCTTAGCCAATTCACCCAATTGGAGTTCAATGCAACTGATCAGGTTCAGAATCCTACAGATAACGATCGGCAGCATTAACAAAATTAGAAGCCTAGGATCAGAAACAGAGAACATAATGGATTCAAAGAGAGATGAGTCTAACTTGTTCCTCTTCTTTACATTAAAGTCTTCAGGATAGGTGAAGGAGCGGCTCCTTGTTCAAGTAACCTGACTTGAAGTACAACTGAGTCTTCCCTACTCTGTTCTGATTTTGGCAGACTCGTAATGGAGAATCATCATGCTTAGCTATATGTGTCAGAAAATTCCAAGATGAAACCTACCAGAAGTCTCCGCATGAGCAAGTTCCATCTTTGAAACGGTGAAACCTAACAGCATCTCTAACAATGATCTCTCTACCAGTGACGCTAGAGATATGTTTAGTGGCAATGTGGCAATCCACACACACTCTGAGGTTTTTCCCTACTCTAATAGGTTGGCCTGATGGTACAAATAGTAATCCAAAGGCAATGGCGAGTCTTTCACTGTGATAGTTAAGCATCTTTATTTTCACTGGTTCCTCCACATCATGGTGAACAAAACTAGTATCCGGTTTATAACCATCATCTATGATTTTCTGGTTCAATTCCTCGAGCTTAGCATATATCTGATCTAGATATGGACTTGACTCATCATCCGCTGAGAAACTGTGTAGTTTTCCTTTCCATTTGATCCAGCTCTGTCCAGGTTCTTTTCTCACTTGCTTCTCTCTCATTCTCCGCCTTAACTGTGCCACACAGTCCCATTCCCCTTTTGATGCATATATGCTTGATAGTAACGTATAGCCAGCAGGATGATAAGGATCTAGCTCTATGAGTGATTCAGCCGCCCATTTACCTATTTCCAAGTTACCTTTGTTTCTACATGCACTGAGCAAAGTGGTCCAACCAACTGCATCTGGTGGAGAAGGCATCCCGTTTATGAAACTCATGGCTTCCTCTAACTTTCCAGATCTACTGAAGAGATCGATCATGCAAGAATAATGACCATTACTCGGTACTATACCGTATTCATTTACCATTAACTCAAAATATCTCTGTCCGTTCTCCACTAATCCTGCCCTACTACAAGCTGATATAACACCGGTCAAAGTCACTCCATCAGGTTTTAGCCCATTTTGTACCATTCTTTCAAACAACTGAATAGCCTCGTTGGCTCTTCCAAATTGTGCATACGCGGATACCATAGCAGTCCAAGAGACTTCATCCCTGAAACTCATCTCGTCGAAGAGCCTAGTGGAATCATCTATATTTCCACATTTTCCATAAAGAGTCACCAACGAATTTGAAACAGTGACATAATGTATTAGGCCAGAAACTATAGCTTTTCCATGAAACTGAGATCCCTCTTCTAAGCTAGCTAAGTTGGCACACGCACTGATTGCTTGTCCCAGAGTATAATGATCTGGGTCGATCCCACTTCTTTGCATATCAAGGAAAATCTTAACAGCCTCTTCAGCACGACCGGTTTGGCCATAACCCACAACCATTGCTGTCCAAGACACGACATTCTTCTGCTTCATTCTATCAAAAACAGTCTTTGCGTAGTCTATACACTTACACTTGCAATACATGTCGATAAGAGCACTGCCTACATATACGTGATCCTGAAGATTGGTCCTGATTATAGAACCATGAATCTGTTTCCCTTCGTTTATTGCTCCTAATCCTCCACAAGCAGGTAGCACACTTCCAAACGTATATTGATCCATCCTCAAGCCTTCCATTTTCATCTCTCTAAAAAGCTCAACAGCTTCCTTTTCCATTCCATTCCGAGAAAGCCCTTGTATCATCGCTGTCCAAGAAACTGAATCTTTCTCCATTCCTTGAAATAGCTTCTGTGCATCTTTGATCATCCCACTTGCTAGAAGTCCACCCATCAGCGAATTGTACATGACCGTATTTCTATCTTCTAGACCGAAAAAAACCTTCTTTGCATCAGAGATGAGACCAACTTTCGCATACATATCCAACAATGGGCTCCCTACTAAAAGATAAGACTCAAACCCACGTTTGGTAACCTGCCCGTGAATCTGCCTGCCAAGACTAACATGTCCATTGCTGGAAGAAAGCTTCAGCATTGTCATCAACGTAACCCTCGTCAAGTTACCATAACCATCTCTCATCATCGTTTTAAAAGCCTTGACAGCTTCACCCACCAGACCACACAAGGAATAGCCGGAGATAAGCAGGTTCCAGGTGACACCATCACGAAAAGGAAGCCTTTTAAAGACACGCTCCATCTCCGAGAGATGCCCAGATTGTGAATAAACCATGAGGAGGTTGTTCCAGGAGAAGAGGTTTGGTTCGGGAATTCCATCGAACACTCGGCGAGCATAAGTGGAGTTTCTGATTTTCGCATAACCGTGGACGATGTCGTTAAGCAAAAGCGTCTCTGGATAAGAAACAGTCTTGGTAATGTGCCCGTGGATCGTCTTTAAATGGCGGCTCTGATTTCTAGCTCCAGACCCTATGCATTGCTTTATCTGAGCAGAGTAGTAGCTCGGCGCCATAGTCTTCACTATATTTGGGTGTTTTGAACTTTTAGACTATAAATAAAAAGACTTTCTGCAAAAGAAGCCTCCAAGTAACAATTGTTTTGCAATTTTGTTCTTAAACTTTGTCTTTTCGAAATTAAAAATTATGAATACTTGGATAAATACACTTTTGTTTATCACACAGAATCCTATGAGACTAATAACAATTTTTTTGTAAAAGTTTCTAAAATATTTTTTAAATCACCTATATATATTTGAAGTTTGGTAAAAAAAATCTACCAAACTAATCAAAACTATCACTTTAATACATTCCAAACCAAATTAACCTCTCTTTTTTTTCTCTGCTAAAATCAAATTTTATTTTGAATTTTAGTTTGTTTTTTCTTTTACGTTTTATAAATTATTGAATTTTAAATTTCACATATACATGGTCTAACCAAAGATTTATAAAAATTAACTTAATATGATTTGCAAATTTGTTATTACGTTTACGTTATTGCTGCATTACACTATTCATCTGAATATACAAACCACAACAGCATAGCAACACTTGAGGGTATTAGTAGAATCATGCATGTTCAACTACATACACAAAACGTAGGAAACTAAAAGGTTATATAATAGAACTATTTGGCATTGTAAATCTTACTCATTCTTTCTCTGATCTTAAATGATTTTGCTTAGTAGTAGTAGTAATATCATATTCGTTAATAGTATCATCATTATAATATAGTACATAGTAACTTAAAAAAACAAAAATTACAAGAAATATTCTATCTAACAGGAGGAAATTATCTCAGGGCTCAACCTTCATGTTTGCAGCTGGAAGAGATTCTGTAATAAATAAATCAAAACAGACAAGTTTCAAACCAAAAAAAAAGCAATTTTTCCTTTACTTGTGAAATAAAAAAGAAGTAAAGAAGAGGTTTAAGTTTTGTTCACCCGTATCTGCTGCTTGAGGGTCAGGTGGGACATCACCAGCTCCATAGTTAATGTGGATCACATTCTGCAGATCACCTTCCCATCCATTTGTTTCCTAATTTTTACAAGTAATCACCAAATAAAAATCAGACTATGAGCTCTCGGATTAGTTCATTTTCTAGACCGGCCGTGGTATATACACGTACCTGTCGTTTGAATCCACCATTCATGGGAGACAACGGAGAGCTAGTGTTCCTGCCGATGTTTGAAAGGGTCTGTTGCATGAATCCATGTGGTAGAGGAGGATAAACCATTGACAGGTTTTGTGGAAATGGTGTTGCAGATGAAGAACCGGCTCGTAGTTGAAGCGCCTGTGTGTAGAGTTTTTGTCTTATAAGTAATCATATGATGACTTAACAATGATAAGGAGGGTTTAGTGAAAGAGACTTCTTACATCTTTTGCGAGAAGACCTTCAAGGTTAAAGTCCATTTGTGGGTTCACAGTTGCAAGTTTCATCGATAAAAACTGTTTAAACCAAAACAAGAGATGCAAATTGAGAGATTACAAGAAGCAAACACAAAGAGCAATTAGTTGAGAATTAAGGAAGTTTCATACCTCAACTTGGCGTTGTAATGATTGAACATAGTTTATGATTTCGTCAAGCATAACAGCCTTACCAGTCACCTGCACACACAGAGATCCATTTTCTGCAATTAGATTTGTTTCCCTTCTTATATATTCATATCCATTTTTAAAAAGACTCTTACCTTGTTGCAACCCGGAACAAGATCTTGAAGAAACTTCATCCTTTCACTGATTTTCTCTCTCCTTACCTATAATCACAAACAAGTAAATTAGATTCACAACACCAGTAAGAAACTGCTTCTATTCAACTTCCCAAAAATGATTGTTCAAGAAACTCTACTCTTTCTGCAAGACTGTGGCTATTTGTGGCCTGGCCTCTACGTGCCCTCACATGAATATACCCATCTTTTGGATCAGACGTTTGTTGTTTCCCCTGTTGTTGCTTCCCACTGTTTGTTTTGTTCCCCGGTGAATTCGGACTCTGCTCGTCGTTCCGCTTCTTATCACCATTGTTGTCTTGTTCTTCCTCAGATTGCTGAGATCGATCTGCTTCAGAGTTCTTCTACAAACAGAGATATTAACAATGTTAACATACAAGAAAAAAAAGAGACCAGAGAAAATCAAAACAAAAGCGCTTAACTTCAAAAAATCTTCACCTGCCCATTTCTTTTCCTCTTCTTTGAATCAAAGCCTTTGGAAGAAGTTTCACCGCCTCTCTGACCGTTACCACCACTAGACTGAGTATCCTCCGATACATTTCCCGATCCAGGAACATTCTGTTTAGCAGCTTGTTCACTAGATTTCACTGCTCTAGTTGCATCGTTATGAGCTTCACCAACATTTACTTCGTTACTAGGACACGGTCCTTGCATCGGAAACAAACCAATAGACTCATGATTCCCAAGCGGTTGATTCACCATGTCACTAAAGTTCCCACCGCTAAAGAGAGAAAACCTCGCCGCACGCTCTATGAACCCTGAATCAGCCGGGAACTGAGCCATGCTCGGAGGGAGGAAGCTGCTGGCGTTAGGCAAGAAGAGACCATTGCCTTTAGGAGGCAACAAGTTAGGCAGATTCCAACCCATTTCAAGAGATCTATTGAAGGAGGAAGAAGACGAGGCATTACCACCATTGAAACCGCCGTAACCACCTAAAGACTGAACATTTGTTGGATCGTACCAAAGAGTTTGCCCAAACGAATCCATCATCTGAGATGGAGAACAAGACGAGGCACAAGCTGAGATCAGATTCTCTGTATGGTACGAATCAATCGGCGCAGAGACAGGATTAGAGCCAGAGATTCTCCAATCTGCAGGCGGAGGATTATTATTAACCGGATCATAGTTCACTGTACTCTCACGATTCCTCTTCTCCGGTGAAAACTCGTCTTTCTCATTTACATTCATCTCTTCTAAATTTGATGAACAGCACTAATCAAAAACCTCTCTCCAGGACCAAACTCAAAGCACTAGAAACCAAAAGGACTTGCCACACAAAGACATTCACTTTCGTCTTTAGAGATGCAGTGAAGGCACAATCCACCTGGGAAGAACCAATTGATTCAAGCTCAGTCAAATAGATTTGATGGTACAAACCCACATCTTACTTAAAGACAAGAACAAGTACTGAGAAATTAAAGACACGAGCGAACTTAAAAAGGAATCTCAGAAGCAAAAAGGAGAAGAATCAGTCAACGGAACAGAGAGAAGAAACAAAAGGATCATGATTTTTGTACGAAACCCAGAAACAGCTTTCAAAAACCCTAGACCAGATTTAAGCAGATAATCGGAGTTAAAAGAGACAGGAGAAAGATACCCATTTTCAGAATCTGTGCCACTTTCTGTACAAACTCGAAAGCTTTTCCTCAATTTCTCACCAGAAGCTTTATTGAAAATGGGTCCTTGGGTCAGATAATAAACCCCTTTCTCTGTTCTTCCGCTGCAGAGAGAGAGAAATAGATAGCAAACGAGTGACTTTTTAGAAATGGAGGAAAAAAAGGAACTGAAGAAGAAGAAAGGGGAAAAAAAAATCGCAAAAGGTTCTGGATTTATACCCACGCTTGCATAAAAAACAGAGCTTTTTGATCATTAAACATAAACACCGCCATAGCCAAAGTATCCAAGCATTATAATTTGCAGGGGGGTTATTTTTTTCATTCTTTATTTTTGAGAGAGGTTTAGTTTCAAAGATTGGTTTAAAGAAAAATTAAAATTCGGTTGATTCAATTAAATCCGTATGGTTTAAGACGTAATTATTCCAATTTGAGCAATCGGCTGACAGTGACAACTTTCATTTTGGGGTTATCTTATTCCTTTTTTTTCTTTCATATATTAAAATCCTCGAAAAACAGGCTTTCATGATTTCTTTTTTCTTGTTTTTATAATTAATAACATAGGTTTGTCTGGTAATTTTTTTTCCCAAAATCCATCTCAGGTTAATCAAACTTATATAAAATGGTTAATTTATATCTTTTGCTTACCACATATATTGAAATTTACCGACATAAGTAATCATTAATACACTTCTGCTACACATTTATTGATAAATGAAACATTTGGCCCTGTATACTACTATTATTATGAGCTTAATGTTTGACATACTTATTTTTAGTCAGACATGTGCATACTTTTATCAGCTAGTTTCAATGTTGAATAAGTTCAAGTTTCTATATTCAAATATTTTTCTAATACATTAAAAATATAGGTTAATCTTTCCATTGTCCAGTGTTTATAAAAAATATGGTATAATGCTTGCGAATAATCATCACAATTATTGGTTTCATGTTCAATGTTTTGGATTTTGTACCGAATCGTCATACTCATATGTAAATTCTTAAACAAATGTTTTTAGTTCATGCACGGTTTGTAGGAGATTTATTAAATAAATAAAAAGTTATTTTTGTGTCTTTTGACCGCTTGCTTTAGCTCAAGAATATTTTTGCAGCTCAAGTCTAGTTGTAAACCGTACTGCTAAGACTTACTATAAGATTCATAGCGATTATAATAATATATCGATAAGAAAAGAATATTTTAATATTGGACATATATAATTAGATCTTTTACTGTCGCTTGGAATAGTTTAATTAGATTATTAAGTTGTTACATTCTGTCAGCTTAGGCAACTTGAGACACTTTATTCAAATAAAAATTGTTCGTACGTCTTGGTTAGTCAAATAATCTACGAGATCTTCGTGGTTGATAGAGGTCTTAAGGTTACAATTATTTGCCTGGCCAGAAAAAAAAATACTTGTATTTCTTAATTTAGGACTACAATTTTTTCTTTTGGATAAAATTACGCTTTTAAAAAAAAAGTACACGTCTATATATATAGTTCTATTACGAACAACGTAGTGAAAATTTTCCACGTACTTTTTCTACACTGATCTCTTTTATAAAAGAATTAGATAGACGTTGCCACAAAAAATATATTCTAAAGTCAAGTTTAATTTAATGGTGAGTCTTTAACAAGTTAATTACATTTTACTATCCCCTATCAAAATTTCTACTAAATTTTTAATTTCCGTATTCTATATAATTTCTAAAGGATACTTTAGAAGATTAACTAACACAATTTTCTAAAACAAAAACATGCAACAACATACAGTACGTAGTTTTATCATTCGTCAAATAATATAATCGAACTTAATTCCTAATCAAAAGCTTCAAAATATATTTCAGAATAGTTTAAGTTATGTATTTGAAACTAGGTAATCGCTAAGAGACTGACTACCAATTTCCAATTACTTCATTACGGAGCTTAAATCCTGCTCAAAGTTGGTCACATGATCTATAGCTTTAGTCAAAAATACCTATTGAATTTCTCGATATTGGAATATTCTGCACTTTCACATCCCTTTGAATAATGGAGTATTTTTGTTGAAAAGTAGTTCATAAATGATGTGTTGTGTTTATAGTTTTTGTTCTTATTTTTTGTTTATTGTTACGTGTTGGTACCTTTACGTGTTTTCAGAATTTCATTATGTGTGACAGTGTGAGTACGTAGATTTTAATGCAAAATCAAAATACGATGAAGTTCGATAGTTTCGGAAATCATCTATAACGTCTATTTTTATTTTTTACTCTAAAATAGAGTAACTCCAAAATAAAATTGAGTTTTGCTCCAATGTATATTTTTATTTAAAAAAATTATTTTGAATAAATTGTGAATTAAATAATTCAGCATTTATCTTAATTTCACTATTTATTATGTACTTTAAAGTTTATTTATTTTGCAATCTTTTTTTAATACTTGTAGTGTTTTAATATTTATAATTATCTGTTTTGTGATGTTTACAAATATTAAGTACTACAAAATAAAATTATTTAATATTTAAAAGATCAGTTTGTAAATAAAAAAATTTAACTTTAAAATGAAGTAAATTTTAAATTCACTTTCAAATATAAAACACAATTTAGGTTTATTTATTTTAAAGTAAAAAATGGAGTAGAATTAAAAAAAAAAATTCTTAAGAATAACATTATATGAAGTAAGATTGAAAATGCTCTGAACAATATACAAACACGGTAAATATGGTCCAACTCGCTTTAGTTTGTAATAAAATGTAAAAATTCTTCGACCCTCAAACAATAAAGGGCCTAATAATTTGAGCCTACCAATTATATTTTGCATATTCCAACACTCCTGCGTGTGATACAATGAAGAGATGATAACGATTTTGTTCAGTGCATTTATACTTCTGTTAATTTAACTTGCGATGAGGTCAAACATCAAAGCACACGCAAGAGCTGTCCTAAAAGCAAAAAAAAATTGCATTGTTAAATTAAAAGAAAAGCTTTGAAAACTGAGTTTAACTGTCTGATACGCACCTAACTCATACTGTATTTACAAAGTTTCAACGCAGCTTATCTGATCAATAACCTCTGTGGCGTTTGGATTCTGAAAACTCCATATCCAAAAACTACCAATCAATGGTCAAATGTAACTTGAATTTCGTTTAAGAAAATAACAAGTTGATGTATTTTATAAACTAGGTAAATGATTATTGACGCAAAAATTGTTTATATTTTCCAAAACACAAATTCTTTGTTTATAGTGGTCGTCATGAACAAGTGTAAACGTATTAAGTACTGGAAATGAATTTAAATAAAATATTTGAAGGAAAAATAAAGGAAGAGTAGATGGACGGTCCGGTTAGCACAAGGAACGAGGTCATTATTAGTTGGCCTTGGGAATTGCAATTTTCCAAAGACCTAAGGAAACCTTATAATAATGGAATCTCCAGCCCACACCTTCGCTTTATCATTCCTATTTTAATACTATTCCCTAATTATCAACAATTGTTTAACCTCTTGGTATATTTTTTTCTTTACAATTTTTTTATTTTATTATCTTTGACCGATAGTTTTAACCCTATGCCAATATTATTCGTTTGTTTAATTGCTACTATGTACCTACTTCCTTTTTTAATTAAATAATGTAAGAGCCGTATAAGAGAGAGAAATGATTTGAGAGTTGATCTTACGAACTAAACTCCATCCATCATCACCACATGTGTAACACTTTTTTTCCTTTACAACTTAATTAAAAAATTGGTACTTTTATTTTGGACTTTTGAGCATATATGAATAGTTTAGCTGAAAATATATTTGAGTTTTTATATGTATATATAACAAACAAACAGTTATATTTACCGATAATATATTTTCAAACACTATTGAACACTTTACCAAATTTATTAATTAGCAATAATTTTTATACATTATATAGAGCGATTTTCTAAAAATACACATCCAAGTATATTTTAATTAAGCTCTAAACGGTATCAACTAGGACTCCAGTTTACGGCTTAATTTTGGTTTAGTATTGTGGTTTTCAATTTTTTGAGTTTCTAAAACTGAAACTAAATAATAACACAATATTTCTTAATATCATGTATGCAAATGACGGTGAATGAGAGGAATAAGTTGATTATGAAAATGATAATCAAATAATTAAAATTTGAAAGGCAACATTACTATACCATAAAGGCATAAACCAAAACTTTAATATTAGAATAGAGAGAGTTGGTATACAACATAAATCTAGATCTGAAAGATTATAACGTTAAAATCGTATATTTCCTGGAATCTGAGACAACCTTGGGTACATGTCCTAATAGTATTGTAATCTACAGTAGAGCCTTACCATTCTATCCAAAGTCACATTAATCATCGTCATATTCTTAACATGCACTACGACAAGGACGTAAGCAAAACACTTCTTATCCAGATACAACCAATCTATTTCAACACATACTGGTCACATTAAGTAACAATCAAACTACATATATAGTCAAGGTCACTCACGAGCCCAATCACAATCACTCTTGTCCCAACCATTTGTCCCCGAATATATCAACAAAATAATAGAACTCAAATGTTACGCATTAACACTCAATCGTATCGCCAGACCACGATCATCTATCATGTCTTTCAACTTGAGAAACACGTCGACACTATACTAAAATCTGCATTGGTGAATCTCTCATCAATAAACAAATCATAAAATAATATATATCAATATTTTATTATAATAATCTTTTAAAATAGTTGAGAAACTCTCTCAAAGTCGACTTTCTTCATTTTTTTAGAGATTCATACACTAAAATATTAATATTTATTATTTTATTTTATTTTTATTGTTGAGAGACCCTAGTGAAAAACTCTCAATGCACATGATCTAAGGTACAAAATACAAAAAGTTCGTCACAATATTCATATTCTAGAATCCAACCCGATCCTCACACGCCTTAAGAATCATGCGATATCATGTACTTAAGAATTTTTTTACCACGATTTCTGTTTTAAGTTACCTTTCTGCATACTGTATTTTTAACATTGATCACCACAATAGAAATGTAATAAATAAATATTGAGTAAGACTGACTGTAAGACAAATCTTTGTATGTATATATAAATACACGCTAAACATGGCTGGGTATAAATTTATAAATAAAGTTATATGGCTATTATAATTTTAGGGGGTGTTATTGGATGATTGAATTTGATAGAATGTACAAGAATTCAAAAATAATTGATTTCTAAGTAATTTAAAGTATTTTGTACAAATTTAAACTAATTCTATCAAAATCCTAGTAAAAATGGTAGGAATTGGTTCTTAACAATTTTTATGTGAGATTCTATTAAATTCTTTCCAAATAATAATACAAACAAAGCTATTACAAAATTAAATAACACATATATTTAATAAAATTGAAAAATTAGTATATTGAATAATAATGATATTTAAAGAATTTTGAAAGAATGAATGTAAACACTTAATCCAAAAACACAGATATTTAAAATAATTGATAAAATATATCATTGAATAACACTAGTATTTAATGGAAATTTCAATTCTTTTCAATTCAATCCAATTTCTAAATCTAGTACCCCCACTTTAATTTTTTAGAAAGTTTTATAGATGAAATTACAAACATGACATTCTTGCACTAACTTTATAATACAGTAATAAAATTGTACTTTGCAAAAATAATTTAATATTTCAATTACAAAATATCACTGTTTAAAAATAAAATCATAATCTTAAATGCGAGTGTATCATGTTATCTAAGACGTTAATGAACAAAATATGCTAAATCAATTTTTTTCAAAAGTTTGAAATTTGACACTAAAATTCTTTAACTACAGTATATCTATATCTCAAGGTGTGTTACAGTTATAACGACAGGAAAAAAAAAAGATTTTTGTATTTTTAGGCCTTTTTGGCTGTAACCAATAATAAGAAGCTAAATGTTGTTCTTTCTTCCTCCAATAATTTCAACGTCCACCACAAATCACCCCCGTTGCTAACGTGCGCACGACCCTACTCCCAAGTCTAAAAACTATCATGCGCTCGTTTTCTTTATCGTTAGCTGACCTGTAAAGAACCCGCGCATTTTAGCATATCACTCCGGACTCTTGGAAACCCCAACAATTCGAGCTCGTTGACGGAGAAAGTCTCTCTGTTTTAATCTGCCATCGAAGAAGCTTCTCCAGATTTTCGTCGGTAAGTTTGTTCTTTCCAGATCCTATTTTTCATCGAACTCTCTCTGTCTTGTCTGTTCCAAGTAAACGAGATCGACCATTTTGTTTTCGGTTTCAAGGTTTCGCCTGTTGAATTTTGTTTTCTAATGATAAAGTCTGAATCTTTGTGGTAGTAAATTAGTAAATAAAGAATAGTCGTTGGTGGGATCTCTTTGAATTGCTGAGTCTTACAAGTATCTAGCAACAGAACAGTATCAGACAGTGACAAGTGAATGTAATCAACGAAACTTCTGAATTCTTGTCTAAAGTTGGCATCTTGATATGGTTTCACTCACTATTAATGTGTTTCGTGGAACATCTCTGAATACTTGGATAACATTTTCAATCATGATTAGATTTTCTCCTTGTTCGTAAGCTGACCTTTGAAAAATTTGATATTGCAGGCCAAGAATGGAGGAAATCGTTCAGGAGGATGCATATAATCAAGGTGAAGCCTTGTGTAGTAAGAGTGAGGAGGAGCAAGAGATAGATGTGATGTTGAAGATGTTGACAAAGCTTGAGATAGACTCGGCTTATGCTAGTGAAAAGCTTCTGAACCTACATGTTCTCCTTATGCACCTTTTGGCTTGGGACAATGATCTTGAAGGCATGGGGACACTTGATTCTTCTCCAGCATCGTTTGAGAAGGCTTTGACTTTCGATCTGTTATGTGGTATATTGGAGTCTCAATTAAAAGAGGTAGACGAGGTTTTGGATGAGCTTGAAGCCCAAATCGTTGACACGTCTTATAAGTTATCTTCTTGCAAAGACGCAAACTATATAGTTATGGAAGGCAAGTTGGGTGAATCTGCAGAATCATTGAAGCAGTCTAGAGGACAAGTCTCGGAGATCACTTTGCAATTAGCTCAGCTCCGAAGAACACTTTATTACATAAGAAATGGAACAAGTAATCACTTTTGATATATATGGTTATTTTTCAAAGTTTTTGTGCTTTGAATCTCTTAGCTAATGGTTAATTATTGACAGGTGAAAACGAGGAGTCAGTGGAGTTTTCAGGAAACAGTCGAGACTTGAGGCATAAATATGCGCTGAGACCATCGGATTTAAGGCATAAAAACGCTCTGAGGATGCTGGAGAAGTCCTTGTCAAGAGAGCTAGAGCTTGAGAAGAAGTTAATGGAGTTCCAGCAAAATGAAGAACAGCTGAAACTCAAGCTGCACTACACAGAGGAGGTATCTTCCCGGATGGAGGAAGCATCGGAGTTTATATGGGGAAGGTTTCTAGAGGCAGAGAATTCCTCGGAGGTGCTTATGGGTATCTCAAAGGAACTTGTTGGTCGTCTTCAGATTTTCCAGTTTAGTCAGAATGGGTCAGCACAACGGGAATCTGAACTTAAGGCTAAGCTTGAAGACTGCAATGCACAACTTGTAGCGAAAGATCTTCTTGTGCAGAAGCTTGAGGGAACAATTGCAGAAAGCAGAGAGATAGTCTCAGAAGTGCTCACCTTGAGGGAACATGTGAAGTCAGCTGAACAAAAGCTGAAAAATATGGAGCTTGAGCTGAGAAGTGTCAATGCCTCTAAACAAGAAGTTCTGGTACACCTTGCTGAAATGGAAAACGCAAATGAGTCGGTCAAAGAAAGCCTTTTCGAGGCTGAAAGCAGAGCTGAGAGTGGAGAAACTAAGATCAAAGAGCTAACTGCTGCAAATCTTGAACTTACCGAGGAACTAAGTTTTCTCAAAGATGCCGATGACAAAAAGACAAAGAAGGTGAATTCGCTGGAGAAGCAGGTCAGGGAGTTAGAAGTCCAGTTACAAAACTCCAAGGTATCATCAGAAGCAAGTCAAGAACAGCAGAACATGTTGTATTCAGCAATATGGGACATGGAGACCTTAATCGAAGATCTCAAATCTAAAGCCTCAAAAGCTGAGAGTAGAATGGAGACAGTTGAGGAGCAATGCATTGTGATTTCTACCACAAACTCTGTTCTTAACAAGGAAGTGACCTTTTTGAGGCAAAGAGTTAAATCCTTGGAAGCAACATTGGATCTAGCAAACGATGAAAAGGAGAAAAACGCACAAGAAATAACTATGAGGAACAAGCTTTTGATGGATATGGTGATGCAATTATCAAGTGAAAGGGAACGTATACAAGAACAGGTACTTTTTGGCAATGTGCCTAATTGTTTTGCTTTGTACAAGCAAAGCAACACAAAAAGCTAACCATTATTCTCTTTTTGCAGCTATTTTCTTTAGCGAAGGAAAATGAAAAACTGAGAGTGAATCAATGCTCAGCGGGAAACAAATATCAAAGAAATGGATCTTTTGCTGCGGACAAAGAGCTGCCTTTTCACGCAGATGGTCAAGGGATAGAGGCACTTGCTGAAAGTCTACAGGCAGGTATTAATTTTTTTTCCAGACTGAAGCTTTGTTGCTTCAGAAGAATGATGGACGAAGCAAAATGTAGATGATTATGAGATATGAAAATTAGAGCCTCTCTTGTTTTAAATCTTATGTGGCTTTTGGACTCTTTGAACAGGAGGATGAGAGAACAAGGGAAGAACAAGAAACTGATGTTGAACTAGAGGACCATTCTACATCTGAAAAGAGTGGCATGAACACGGAGATCAGAAGGGGAAGCAACTTGACACGTATACCAGTTTTGGCTGTAGCTTTTGTGATGTTTCTTTCATTCTTTGCTTTGGCTGTTGTTAAAGGAAAAAAATCTTCAATTTGAAAATCAGTTTGTCTTTTGGTTGGCAATAGCATTAGCCATTTGTACATTGTGTTGTAAATACTATATTCTCTTGTATTTATTTCTAGTAATATTGTATGATGTATCTCAACTGTTGGTTTATTTGCCTCTCCAAAGACAGAAATCAAGAAATTATTAATGTTTTTCTTAAACTCAGGGATCTAAAGCTGATGTAATCAAATAGTATCTGACTTAACTTGGTAAAACTTTCAAACCAAAGATTTTTGGTTTTTCCGTTTAAATTTCTTTTATAAAAGAAGATAATCAGACATCAGTCATCAGACATCACTCACACAATCAAAACAAACAAGAAAAGATTTTCAGATTTACAACTAGCAATGGAGAAAACGTCCCTCAAGCTTGTCTTCTTGTTCTCCCTCACAGTCATACTATTGTGTATGCTTCTTTCTAGGATAAGTTCTTCTTTGTTATATAGTTTTTTGCTTTGGTCTTGTTCTGAAGTTCTGGTGATGTGTATTTGTGTAGCTTCATCTTTGGGTGATGCGAGAGACATGGCGAAAGAAGAAGTGAATTGCATCGGAGGAAAATGTCCTGAAGAAATAGCATCTACAATGGACACTTTTGAGGCCAATGCATATTGTCGTAGAGACAAGGATTGCATCCAGTTCTGTCCTAAGGGCTGCAAAATTGTTAACTGTAATTTTGGAACCTGTTTCTGTGAGTGTTAAGAGATTGGAAACCACCATAAGTTTTACTTGTAAGACAAGAGAGGAACAAGAGATATTAAAATACAATCATCTTTATTTTCTCCTTGCAAATATATCAATTTCTGTCGCCTCTTAGGTAACCCTTTTGGGAGGTAAATTTCAACTCATACCATATATAGTAAGATCTTGCATTGGATAGTGTTGATCATACAAATCATCTGCAGTTCAGATTTCATGAAATAATGATAATACATCCATTAAACCAACAAAGCCAAAATTAATTTTTTTTTTTCAATTTCTCCCAGCCGATCTTCTTCTTCCTCACCATTTTTCTTTTTTGTCCATCCTGATTAAGAACCAAAACACTTCTTCTCTCTACCTTAGCCCTGTTTTTTTGTCCATCCTGATCAAGAGCCATGCTGCGTGTGCATGAGCTACAATGTTTTTTTTTAAGAACAGCAACTATATAAATTTCAGTCACTTCGTCTTCGTCTTTAATCTTCTGGTAAATTTTAAACTTGCCACATGCATGTATGTTCTGAAACTTTTGAGCTTTCTATTTTTTGATGCGGATGCTGGACGCGGCGTTAGTTAAAAGAAGAAAGCCAGACCAAAATCAACTTTTGATCGTTTGTGACAAGAACTAGCGGAGATTCTAAGTTACTAACCAAAGCCCTTGGTAGATAACTGAATTCTACAATACTATGTTTATTCCGTAGTCTTTTAAAACAATTAAGAGTAGCAATCGATTCCAAAGTTTTAATCTAGTATATTTTTCTCGATCAATAATAAATCTCCACCCACTGTTACCAAATGATCTCCAATCATCGTATATCACATAAATTTCTAACATATTTATATGTGATACGCAAAAAAGTCTCCAAATAAAATTCACACATATTAATTTGCGGTAGCAAACAACAAATTCGATACACACCAGAACATGTGTGAAATATATCCACTACTTTTTGGTTTAGACTTTTGATTTTTATAAATAACTAAAAAAATTAGAAACAAAAAGTACAGTGAATAAAACGGCGTGGAAAAACAAAGAGGATCATATTTTATCTTAATTTTTAAACCCACATAATACATCTTCTAAATCTTGCAGAACATTTAGATTAGACAGAATATATATTTTACGTAGTTGCCAAACATATAGAAAATATAGAATGCATGTTCTAAAACTCGTAGAACATAGAAAAACCACAGAAGACATGTTGTAAAAATCTAGAACATATCAGAAAAAAACATATCTTTTTGGAATAATAAAAATTTAAATTTCTATAAATAAGTTTGTTTTCCTTTTTAGTATATAAATTTTTATTAAAAACAAAAATTTAAACAATTTCGATATTAAAATATATAATTTTGGGTAGTTTAAAGTTTAAACACAATTGTATCTACAAAAATAAAGGTGTAGAGATACAAGATTATAGAGGAAAACATGAATAAAGGATAACATTATCTATAATCATGCTAGAGACACGATGAAAGAAGAAGTGAATCGCATCGGCGGCAAATGTCTTGAAGAAAAAACACTTATGAGGTCAATGCATCTTGCCGTAGAGACAGCGATTGCATTCAGTTTTGTCCTAAGGGCTGCAAGATTGTTATCTATAATTTTGGAACCTGTTTATGCGAGTGTTAAGAGATTGGAAACCACCATAAGTTTGACTTGTAAGACAAGTGAGGAACAACGAGTTATTCAAATACAGACATATATAAAATTGGTTTATCTCAATTTATTTTTCTCCTTGAAAAAGTTATCAATTGGCCTCTTATGTAACATTTATCGGTGGTAAATTTCAAATCATACTATATATATACTAAGATCCTGCATTGGATATTGCTCATCATTAAAACCATCTGCAGTTTAAGTTTCATGAAGAGTAAGTTACATATGTTCCAACACGATTAATCCGTTTTTTTAGTTGGCCACAAATGAAATGTTATAGCATTTGGTCATACAATTATGTATCACAACTGTATTTATCGCTAGCAATGTATCACAACTGTTTTTGGTCACACAAATATGTATCACAACTGTTTTTGGTGAAGAAAAAATGTATCACAACTATTATAAAGTGATTTCCTAAAAATGAGAGATGTTGCATGGGACAATTCCTTCTATAAAAGAAGAACAATCCCACTTCTCTCTTTATCACTTACACAATCAAAATAATCAAGAAAACATTTTTTGAAGTTCCACAATTTTGCAATGAACAGAATGTCTCTCAAACTTGTCTTCTTGGTCTCCCTCATAGTCATAGCATTTTGTATGCCTTCTTCTTGGTTATATACATATATATATATTTTTTTTTTGGTTTGGTTTTGTACTAAAGTTTGTGGGGTGTATATGTGAAGGTTCGTATTTGGGTGATGCAAGAGAGATGACAGAGGAAGAAGTAAAATGTCCCGGCGGTGTATGCCCGATGCCAGAAGCACCTCCGGTAACGGTGATAGATAGTAGGAGGGTGTGCCGTAAGGAAACTGAATGCGGAAAGTACTGTCCTAAGTCCTGCATTTCTCGTGGAAGCGCTTGTGTCTGTTCTTGTATTTCGGGACAATGTTATTGTGTGTGTTAAGATTCAAAACCACGTTAGTTTTTGCTTGTAAGACAGAGAGGAGCAGTAGGTAATTTAAATATAAAATTGTCTCAATCAATTTATTAGAGTAAAACTTCTATAAATTGATATTCGATAAATTGATAACTACGATAAATTAATAAATTCTTTTGATTTCAAGTTTACTTGTTTCAAAATATAAAAATATAGTTCGATAAAATAAAAAGTTTTAGAAAATTATATAGATATATATATGGTTCTATTAATATCATAAAATAATTATGAGTATGTATATTTTTTCTTTTCTTAGTAAGTAAACTTTTTTAAAAAAAAAATCAATTGTATTATGTTTTTAATTCAGTGAAACATTAAATAGTTCTTATCTCTTGTATACATTTCTAGCAATATATCAAAATTGCTGGACTAGTTAGGTGGTTATTGGTATACTTTTGCATAATTTTATTAAATTAACAAAGTTAGTTTATGAGTAATTCTTATTTTTATGATTGATATATCTCTGTTAACATAATAATTCTCATATTTTATATTTCTATGATATGATAATTTGCAAGCACAATAATAAATAATATTATGATAACTGGTTTAACATAATAATTTTATACTTTTATTAAATAATAATTGGTTTAACATGCTATTTTTATGATATGCTAACTGAATTCAACATCGACAACAGAGTTTTCAGATTAATGGCATTTGTGCTACTAAACAAAATAATAAGGATTTTTTTCCAGTAAAACATTATTTCTGTTTGTTAATTATCTAATTTTCAGTTATATATTACTACTCACCTAATTAACAAGCTATACATATATATATAATTTACCCTTTTCAAATTAACCAAAAAATATATAAAACTATATTTTAAAAAAAATATTTCAAAAATAATCTTTATTTGATGTATTATCTACACTCATTTCATGCTAATGTATCAACACTAAAAAAATATTGAAATTGATTTTAACTTGATACAAATAAAAATAATATGAAAATTTGACTAGATATAAAAGATTATTATAAGATAAGTATTTAACTTTAATCAAAAAGTTACATGATTTGATACATTAATAGATTCTTGATCCCATATAAAAATGGTGGCAGATTTGTTTAATTTTGATGGTGGAGTTGTATCCTAAACTGCTATTTACTCGACGATAATATAGTTTCCTTTTTTTGATGTTACCGCAAAAGAATTGTTACAGATGTCAGATGATAGCATTTGATATGATAATCCTTATCTATTGTTCTCATCTCTAGCAATGTAGTACAACTGTTTTTGGTGGAGAAAAAATGTATCACAACTGTTACAAAGTGATTTCCTAAAAAATGAGAGATGTTGCATGGGACAATTCCTTCTATAAAAGAAGAACAATCTCACTTCTCTCTTCATCACTTACACAATCAAAATAATCAAGAAAACATTTTTTGAAGTTCCACAATTTTGCAATGAACAGAATGTCTCTCAAGCTTGTCTTCTTGGTCTCCCTCATAGTCATGGCATTTTGTATGCCTTCTTCTTGGTTTATATACATATATAATATTTTTTGGTTTGGTTTTGTACTAAAGTTTGTGGTGTGTATATGTGAAGGTTCGTATTTTGGTGATGCAAGAGAGATGACAGAGGAAGAAGTAAACTGCCCCGGCGGTGTATGCCCGATACCAGAAACACCTCCTGTAGCAGTGATAGATAGGAGGGTGTGCCGTAAGGAAACTGAATGCGGAAAGTACTGTCCTAAGTCCTGCCTTTCTCGTGGAAGCGCATGTGTCTGTTCGTGTATTTCGGGACAATGTCATTGTGTGTGTTAAGAGATTCGTAACCACCATAATTTTTTTATTGTAAGACAGAGAGGAGCAGTAGGCAATTCCAATTTATTTTGTCTAAATAAATTTATTATCACATAAATTCAATGAATTGATATTCGATAAATTAATAAAGAAAATTTTTGATTTGGAATTCAAACGGTTTAAAATATAATATAGCTCGATAAATAATTAAATTAAAATATATATATATATATATGATCTTATTAATATTTTAAAATAATAATAAATAATTAGTATATAATTATTTCATTTCATAGTAAGAAATTTTTTTTTCTAAATTATATTATGCTTTGTTTTTACAACAGGTTATATTGTGCTTTTAATTCTTAAAAGTCAATTAAAATTTATGTTGTAACTTGATAGCAATTTTTAGGAATGAAATCATGTGAAATTTATGAGTTCGTAAAATTCCACAAAATTGTTACCAGTTACAAGGAAAGAAAATGAAAAATTATTCTATTTATTCTATTAATTCTACAAAATTAAAAACAATTCTTTTTAAAAACATTATTCCACTTTATAAATGCTAAGTATTGAATAAAATTTCATTTTTATTCCATTCCATATTTTTTTATTCCACAGAAATTTATTCTATTTATTTCTTATACTTCTATTTATACAGTTACAGCCTTATTATATTCAACTATTTATATTTTAAAAAATGTTTTTATTATTGATTGAATTATATTTTAAAACGTTTTTAAAACAATAATTATGAATTTATTTATGGGCAATTCTCTTAATTAGCCCAAAACTAAGTTTATGGGCCAAAAATACCATGCGCTCATTTTTTTATTAAATATAACTTTTTTTAGGAATGATTAATAATGTTTAAAGAAGGTCTACCTTTTAGGAAGGATTCATAAATAATTTAGGAAGGTCATCCTAAAATTTTTGATGATGATAATTTCACATATTTTTTATTTCAATTGTGTAGTTTAAGGTATGTGAGCTATAAAATATTTTATATATCAAATATATAATTAATGTTATATATTAAAGATGATGCTTTATTTATTTGTATTTGATTAATTATATATTAATAATAACATTATATAAATATTCAATAATTAAAAATAACAATAAATCAAATGAAATATATTATAGATTTTAATAGAAAATTGAAGATAAAAAAAAAATTAACTCAGATTTTAAAAAACTTCATTAGATAAAATGTGTAAATATGATAACTAAATAAATTGAATATTAAAATATATAATAATTTATTTAATTTCTATAGTTGGTCCGCACACATGTGCAAGTAAATGTTTTTTATAGACATAATTAATTGTAATATTTAAGTATTGATCAATTTCTTATATATTATGTAAGCGTTATGTTTTTATACATACAGTAAAACCTTTATAAATTAATAATGCTGGGACTTTCAAATTTTGTTAAATTATAGAGTTATTAATTAATTGATAAATCGACTAATTGATATCTTATTAATTTATAGAGATATTTTCCGGTTCGAATTCTTAATGTTCATTTTAAAAAAAAAAAATTTGAACAATGTAAAATTTATTCAAAAAATATCATAATAATGGATTTAGAAGATAAATCAAACAAAAATTATAAACTTGAAACAATAATATTATTATATTTTACTATATTATATTATTTATATATACTTAAATGTATAATTATTAATTTATATTATTATTGTGACCATACTTTTACATAAGATTATCTTATTATCTTATCGAATTTTGTCAATTTTTACATTGGTCCGACTTGAGACCGACAAAAATTATTAATGTATAGTGATTATTAATTTATCGAGTATTAATTAATAGAGATTATACTGTGTACAGTTTTATTGTTTAACAACAATCACACAAACATTTCATATCATTTTGTGTCTTTGAAAAATTTATTATGTAAGCGTTACATTTTTATGCATATACAATTTTAGTGTTTAACAACAATCACACAAACGTTTCATATCGTTTTGTGTCTTTTGAATTTTTTTTTGTTTATTCAAGAGTTTAGAGTAACATATAATTGCAAATGTAAAAGTTATATTAAATAATAATTAAGTTCTTATAATATGTTTTGAATGTTATCTATATTATATTTCTTTTTCCCTTGCACAATATAATCTTGTCAATATATATATATATATATATATATATTTTAAGTATACATTTTTTCTTGACCTATTGCTAAGTAAACCAAAATGAGTTTTACCATCACTACTTATCCTAAGAGTGGGTAGATAGTTGGTCCGCGCATTCATGCGTACCAACCACCTCACCGCTCTTAGGACATATCGAGATTTTTTTAATAAATACATAATGACTAATAACTAAAATTTAAATTGGACAATAATTGAGGTTAATAAAATGTATGCACGACAAGTTTGCATGCGACTTTTATTTTTTCATAATTAATATTTATATCTACACGTATATTTGTGAAAAAATCAAAGTATGGTTTTTATGTGTTAAAAGAAAATAACAAAATATATGTTTTGTAATATATATTTTTATAATGTATGATTGATTTTTTATATAAAAATATGTATATTTATGCATGTAGGTATGAGTTACAAATAAGTGAATTGTAATATTTAGGTGTTGAGTAGTTTTTCTAATATTTTCCGCAAACGTCATGATTTTACACGATACAGTTTTTGGCGTTTAACAATAATCATGAAAACCATTTCCATCGTTTTCTATTTCATCAAAATTTCTTATTTTTCAGCGTTTTATGATATATGGTTTCTGAATAAAAATTATAAAAAAAAATTATTATAAAATTTGTGAATTTTTATTTTATAAAGTTCTCCGGTAGCTCTCTGCTTATCTCTTTGTCAAAATTTTTATACGCTGCAATCGCTCGCTTCCACAAACTTTCTATAACCGCAGCATTTAAATCCGCTGGATCCTAAGCTTATATGTGTATGGTTGAAAGTGTAAAATAATATATTTAATATTTAATTATTATATTAAAAATAAGAGTTCTTATGTTCCTAATTTTGATATATGTGTTAATTTTATATATATAGGATCATAACATATACAAAACTTGATTCATGAAATAATGTTTTAAGATGTTAAAAAAAATGTATGCATGAAATAATTAATATGTGTAAGATAATAGTTTTAAATATTTAAAAAATAACATAAAATAGATCAAAATTATTCTTTTTTTGTCTTCTTTGATTCGTATTTTTTTTCTTAACCTTAAATAATATATTAAGTTTTTTTTGGTCAAATGATATATTAAACATTAAGATCATCTCGAATGTCTTTTTCTACTTATTTTTTTAAAATATAGATGAATTTCTCTCCAACCTATTTCTATTTTAAAGGAAAAAGAAAGATTATTAATTTTCCCTCCAATTATAGAAGAAAAAATAACATCACTATTTTTTTCTCTAAATTAGAAGATTTAAATAAAGGTGAGTTGAAGATACTTTAAACCAAATACATAGCCTGAGATTTTTACAGTTACCAAAATTGTAAAGATTCATTTTTTACTTTTATTTCTACTTCTTATTCATATGTTTATTTATAACAAATATTTGTTATAAAATTTGTGAAATTATATTTTATAAAATTCTCAGGAAGCTTTCCGCACATCTCTTTGTCCAATATTGAGGAATTGGTTTGATGAAGAAAAGAATTTTTTATGGTTGGTCTGCACGCATGTGTTCATTATAAAATTTGAGCCACATATGCGTTTATTATAAAATTTCTTTCTTAAGATTTTTAAATGACTCTGTAAAACAAAGTTTGAGAGTTGTTACGGCAAAACAAAACTGTAGAGATTTATTTTTATTTTTACTTCTTATTCATATTTGTTTTTGCTTATTTATAATTTATTTTACATCCGGTTACATTACGTTTTATTTCTGATCTCAAATTCTCGATCTAAAATGAGACTCTATATGAGTATGATATAAACTTTTAATTTATTAAAAAAATATAAGAGATAAAATGAAATGGTAATGTAAGCTACGCAAATTCGAGAAAACAATAATATAAAAATGTTAAAAGCATATATACAAATAATAATATGTCATATTTCCAACATTATTAATATATAGCGCATATAATATCTTATTAGATATCTATTATTATTTTTCTATATAAAAGTATAAAATATATATATTGGTTGTAAAAATTTTGTAATCATATTTTATGCAATCTATTATTAATATATATATATATATAAGAAAAAATTGAAATCATAGTAATTATTATTTTCTGTTAATTTAAATTTATACTTTTTAGTATTATAATCTAGTGTATTTATGTTATATTTTTATAATTTATTTAAATATAATTCAACCAATCAAAATATTTTATTTATTTTAGGAAATTTGCCATATCACATTTTCATGTCACCATTAATTTACACTAATTTTTGCTAAGGTGATAACACATCAGATTTTTTCATTAAACATGCTTCTCAAATAATAATCAAGATGTATCTTGCCTTCAATATCGGGTGGTCAAAAGTCTTCCTAAATCGTTTAGGAAACTTCAACTTTGAATATCCCTCATAATCTCTAATATTTTGTGATTCATTTTTTGTTTAACAATTTATAGTTGTTTTTAACATATCCTAATAATGCATTCTTTACATGTTAAGACATATGGAAAATTCATTGAAAGTTTCTTCCAAAAACTCATTGAATCCCTTACGACAACAAATAAGGAATAAGCTAAATTACAGAGAATCTAAATTCAGAAAGAGTTTCTAAATATTTGGAAAGATCTACTATATATTTATGTAGATCATCTTAATGCTATAATTGACCTAAAATATGTTTGAGGCTATAGTTGACCTGAAAATTTAAAATAGTGCTATTAGAAGGATTTTCTTTTTATTTATTAAAAATTTGTTTAAGTGTTATTTTAAAATATTTTTATAAAGTAATAATTTTACAAAATAATAAAATATTAGTCATAACAAATTTTCAATGAGCTTCTCAACCTAAAAAAAATAATAAAATAGTAAAAAAAGAAAAGAGAGAATGAGATGAATCTCTCATATGAGAGACTCATTTGAGTTTGACTTTCAGCTTGTGTGCCTTTGTATTTTGAGCATGTGGGATGTGCCAGAACGAGAAAGAAAGAAATTCTTTCTTGCTGTTTGCAAACTCTTCCAAGTGTAAAGAAAAAAATTCCTTCTTGCTGTTTGCAAACTCTTTTTAAGTGTAAAGTGAAAGCCAACCATTCCTCTGGTTTAGACACCATCTTCGGCAAATTGAAACAGTTAGTGACAAAAACCATCATTATGGTCTTATATCCCTAAATAAAGGATATTTTGAGCACACTTATTAAGAAAATTTAAACAAAATCTATTCTAACATTGTATTTATTAGTTATTACTTAGAAATTTCTTTAAATAATAAATGCTATAATGGTATTGATCAAACAATGTCTTTCATATGATCAAACAATGTCTTTCATGTTCCAAATATGTTATACAATTCTCTCAGAGCTTGCTATGTTTCTTTCAATGCTAACAAGAGCTTCTGAGAAAGCTCCTTCTCTGCATAGCTTTTGCGCACTCTTGTTAAGAATTTTCTAAGAGTGAGGATCAAGCGAAGAGGGCTCTCGAGATGAACAGCGTGACCAGCCTCTGGAATTTCAACACTCTCGATGATATTGCTTTCGCTCTTCTTGCTTTTACTCATTTCGCGGTACATTCTTGTAGCAATTTTCTTGAATTTGACATCTTTCTCACCAAAGACAAGCGAGATGTTTGTCTCACAATCCTCCAACTCTTCCCACAATGACCTATTTTTACAACAAAGGACATTACATCATCATCATCATTAAATCATTATCAAAATATGATCCCATCTAAATCAAATCCATGTAAAAAAAGAAGAAGCTTACGGTTGTCTTCCACTGCTTAGATCCGAGAGGAGCTTAGCAACACTAAAGACATCATCATGTAGCAACCGGCTTGCAACTATTTTTCTAAAATGAGGATGACTTCTCAAGCTAGTCGTCGTCATTGCAAACAAATCATTCATATGAGTAATGAATTCAAGTCCAGAAAACCAGAAAAAAAGTCATCATATTACAGAAAGTCACCTTTTCCACAAGCCTCCATTGTACCAGTTCTCCAAAAAGATATCTAGTCCATGGTCAACCATCATTCGTGCTTTGGAATCATCCGTTGCACTTCGAACTTTCCTTGCCACTGGATCTTTGAGTCCGGGGCTCCCCGATACCACAACAGCTCCTTCGATCTATAGAATCACAAACCAAATTCTATTATCCAAATTATTTAATCAATGTTTAATTTTCAGACAAAAAAGGAACCAACCAACCTTGTTGCTAAACCTCAAAGCCATGTACAGTGCTAATCTTGCTCCCATTGAATACCCAACTATGGTAACTTTCCCAGGAGTAATTTGCTCAATCAACTTATACACTATCTTTGCTATCATCTCCATTGAGAAAGTAGGCACCTTCTGTGTCTCACTAGCATGACTTTGTACCCTTGAGCTTCCATGGCCAGGAATATCAACTGAAACGCATCTCGCGGATCCTGAGATACCCTTCATGATTGGGATCCATTCTTCACCAGTTCCAAGAAATCCATGAAGAAACAAAACTACACTTCCCTGAAAGACATTGCAGCAGAGTGAAAAACCAGGTAGGCTTTGAGCAAGAACATACAAAATCACAAACAAGGGCAAGCTTACTTCTGCATTGTGTCCAACGCCATGGATTCTTATAAAATGAGAGAAACCATCTACATCAACCCTCACTTCATATCTCCGGACAGGAACTCCTTTACTGGTTCTAACAATAACATCGTTGTTTATCTTAACATCCTTTAGATTTTTGCTAGCATCAGAGACAGATCCTTCGACAAATCCACTGTATGGACTACGGAATATCCCTAGACTATTCATCATTACGTCTTCATTAAGCCATCTATAGGTTCCAAGACCATGTGCTACAAGAGGGACCATCCCTTGAGTTTTCTCTCTGGATGTTTTGACGTTCTCCATCTCCAAATATGATGCAAACAAGATATATGCTGATAAACCTAGGCCACTTTCATATGCGGCACTTATAACAGCCATCTTTCCATGCTGGTGTGCCCACCGAGCAATTAGTGCTGCATTCTCAAACCCTCCCACAACACTTGGTTTAATAACCTACGAATATCAATTACGATAAAACACAGTTAACCTACACAAGAAAGAACAATCTCAGGCTCATGTAAAAGGATGCTAAAGAATAACAAGTGGCTTACAACAGCAACAATTCCAGGATGGGCATATTTGGTAAGTATGTGCAGAGGACATTCCGCAATATCGTCAAGAGTCTCATCAAGTGCCACTGGTAATCCACTTTCTTCATGAAACCTTATAAGATCATCTTTGTTCTGGACAGGTTCCTGAGATATACAAAAGTTTTCTTCACTGCAATTATATAGGGAAGAGAAATAAGTTACTTTGAAGTAATACTTCAGATTGCAATAATTCATACTTTACCGGACCTCAATATATTGTAGATTGCAGCTTTTAACCAGTAAACCAAACTTTATAGCATCTTCAAAAGTCCAGCGACAATTTGCATCTGCACGGAGTTCAATTTGATCACCGACGACTCTCCTTACTTCTTGCAGAACAACAGCATCTTGAACAGAGCTCACTCGACGAGCAACCTGACAATTTAAGAAGGTTTAGTTTATCCCTCAGTCAGTTATAAATAGCTTGAAAACGCGAAGAGTGAGAAAGTCAACAGCCTCAATTCATGCATGAATATGCTATAAGAAGTAACCAACATAATATATATCCAGAATTCTTACTCAGGATGATTGAGTGTAATAATGTTTATATGGTCAAACAACATTGGCTTACTTTAAGTTTTATAGCACTGAACCCTTCTTCAACAAGTTTTCTAGCAACATATGCGACCTCCGATGGAGTACCTTCAGAATCAAGAAGGGCACATATTTGAACAGAGTGTGGTTGAGCAGAACCATTTTCTTCTTTCTGACAATGAAGTATCCCCAGCAAACTAGAATCATGTCTTACTGCCATTGCATTCAGAAGAGCCATTTCCAGACCACATCTGACACTCGGTAAAATCGATGATGCCTGAAAAAAAACAAGAAGAGATTGTCATTCCTAGGCAACCATTTTCTGTAGATAGTTGTCTTTACTTGAACAAGAAGGCTACAAAGATCAAGAATTTTTTGCACCTAGCACGATTTCCAAAAAATGAAGTACTAGCATTTTATCTTGCTCAGCAGTATCTTTTCATTTACTCAACAATTTCTCCTGCTAGAGACAGCTTCAAGGGTATACTAATTTTCTTATGACAGAACTAAGGCTAGTGATACTTACAGTGATTCCAAGTTCACTCCAAACCCAGGAAGAAATCGAGCCATTTAACAAAGGAAGCATGTAACTAAATTTAGCTCCTTTCATAAGGTGAAGTATTAATTGTAGCTGCCCTTCCACATCCATTAAGTTCTCTCTATTGCTATCCAAAGGTGCAACCTGCTCATGAAAAAACATCACAGGAACATGATTCTCAGTAGCACAAATTTAAAAAACGTAAAACCTAGTGATGAAAAATACAAAGACTGAAATAGCCAACCTCTCCGTAGCCAATGCTTCCATTGTCCAAAGTCAGGGAGAGTATGAACCCTTCTCGGTGGAATTGAGAGGATTCACCATAATATATGGTAGGTTTGTCACACAGTTCGACTCTGAAAACAGAGTTTTTCTTATAAGAAAAAAGAATGGTAACATTCAGATATAGTTCCGGAAAAATCCTTACCTGTACCGAGAATATTGTATCCCAGAAACTTGGCAAAGAAGTACATTGTCGATCATTGGATGAAGAAGAGAACTACCCGAGATCATGGCCAATGAATCATTTGCAGCTTGACGTGCAAAACTCTGCAAATTACTGTGAACGAGTATTCAATATCAACAAAGCGCACAAGAAAGTGAGGACATGTAAAACCGGAGAAAAAAAAAGAAGACCAAAGAACCTATGAACGATTGCGTTAGCATCGATAGAACTTTCAACCTCCACAATACAATCCATCTCTTCCACGCTGGGTACAAATAGAGCTTCCTCAAGTTCGCTTTTCGTCCCAACGTGTACATACTTCACGCTGCATGTTTTAGCAATTTGGCTGAGTTATTTTATAATATAAACCTTGAAGAATAAAAGCCCTACACACTTAAGGACACGATAAATCATGGTGAACCAACTCTACTCTAGACTAAGAAATAGATACAGTGAACAAATCAAATGAACAATCCTGTATTACTTTTTCTTGCAAATTTTATATCTGTTCTTTTTTTTCATGCGTATATTGAGAAAGCTGACTATTAAAACTTAAACTTCCAGAAAAATCGTATCCATTTTTTCTCTCCAAAACCTACATTTTGTAGAACCAGAGCTGACTGAAATAATATAGCAGAGCGGGAAAGGAAAGCAGAATAAAAACTGTTAGTATGTTTTATTACCCATGTGCCAAACATAAGTTTTCAATGGAAACGTCATGTGATGTATAGAAGTATTGATTTAACACACTAGGCTCTGTTCTCTTTGCTATAGGAAGAAGTCGGAAGATTCCACCTCCACGGTTGTTTATCACAAGAATTGTCATTGGTTTCCTCGCAATCCTAACAAGTCAAATTGACTTATTAAGAATGACATATCTTCAGGAATCAAATCTACCAACAGTAAAAACTATAAAACAGAGGAAAAGGGATACCTCTGCTTAAAAATCGCCAATCCATTTGTATCATGAAGGAAAGAGATGTCCCCCACTACACAGACCACCTGATAAACATTTGTTTGAAAAACAAGAAGATAAAGTTATGACATGGTAAAAGAAACACGAGTAAATGAAAGAACCAGGAAAAGGGAACAACTCTTTGTGCAACTTTCTACTGACAATGATCTTAATAGTTATCATGGCATAATAATCAGATAAAATCTTACTCTCTTCTTGCATCCTACAGCAAAGCCAGTGGCTGAGCTGAGCAAGCCATCAATGCCACTAGCTCCTCTATTTCCAGTTACTTGTATCCATTGACATGGTAGCTCTGCACTTAACATCATATCTACCACATGGGAATAATTTTCCGAACTACATCCATACATATCCACATCCCTTATCGGCATACTATTCCCAATGAAAAGAGCAGATTTTGAAGTCAGTGCTTTCGAAAGCATATGTGCAACATATGGCTCAGTCAGGGAGCATTCAGCAGATATTTGAAATGACATTTCCCGGGCAATCTGCATAAAGAAACGAACTATTAGAAGCAGTACGTGTTCAAAAATTAATCTTTTACAAAATTTACAGGAAGCATATGTTCCCGTTCATGTTTGATCTTTTGAGGCATATTAAGTAAAAGGTTTGTCTAGAGGACATACGACGCCGTCCAGTGCCTGTAGATGACCATGCAACTTGCTTCTCCTCCAAGGAAATCGAGATTTAAGTACACAATCCGCAAACTGAACAATGTTGCTTTGGACCCTGTGAGTGACCAGGTGTGATGGGTCATGTCGGCATGGATGCTTATCAACCAAAATGTATGCAAATGGAAAGCATTTCTCTAGCATCTGAGAAACTCTTTTACTTGTTATCCGACGTCCAACCTATCGATGATTTCATATTACAATCTCAGTCAGTACACATCAATATCCATTCAGTGAATTCTTGGTTTGGAGTCGGCATATGTCAAAAGAGAACCCTAATAAGAGATGGAATCATGGAAATGAACGATCTAGTCATCCATCACATAGTTCTCAATTCCTTATCATTAATTGAAACTTCTTCTAGGCGTTCCAAACTCAAAAGAAAATATTGATTGAGAAGTACCACAAGATCTTCTTCTTCACTACTTTATCTTAATGCATGTAGCAAAAATTGAAGAATGATAAAATTTACCTGGATAACAACATCAAACTCTATCAAATTCCTAACAGAATCTGAAAGCAGGGCATGATCAAGATGATCAACAAAAACAGGGGTCCACTTGTCAAGAAAAGGTTTAGATAGCTTGCGCAGCCGTACACCAGACAAGACATCTGCAACAACAGGCCACATCAGCGCTTTAGCCAACAGAAGCGAAGCCCAAATTTCATCCTCTGTATGAATTGCACCGATAAGAAGAAGACCCTTCTTAGCCTCTTTGATTACTTGTAAAACCTCAGTAATTTGGCCAGTTGTTACACCATTGCTCTTAATGCTTTGTACTTGAAAATATTTTGTGAATGGTTCAGCATTAGACATCCACATTTCTAATCCGTTTAAGCAGTTGAATGACCAATCTGTTGGACTACCGTCAAGTGGTTCTCTAAAAGGACAATTGAGATGTACTGGTCCACAAGCAGAACCTGTTGCCCAATGTATAGCAGAGTCTACAGTGGTAAGGACCATCCGGACTGGAATAAGATCAGTTGGAGGAGGTAGATTGAAGAAGAATCTGACAAACGAACCGAAGTGGTTTATCTGTGACACAAGAAAAGAAACAAAAGAACATAAGTACACTCAACAGCCTCTAACTCTTCCTTCTTTGTCTGACTCGAGGATATAGAGACAGAACATGCCAACAAACCCAAATGGGATACCATAAGTGTAAAAGGCCTTATCTTGACCTTACTTGATTTATTGCTTGATTTGCGCCAACGCCCTGAAGTTCAGGAGGACGATCTGCGGTAAGTAGTAGCAGTGGTAAAAAATCCTCACTGGCTTCAACCACCTGTATTTGTTAAAAAGTATAAAACAAACAAGCAATAGAAATAATTTAGTAAAGCATAAATAAGTACAACTCTGACCGCTGGAAGAAGATTTGAAACAGCAGTTCCTGATGATGTAATAATGACTGCTGGTTTGAGGGATCCTTTGGCATACCCAATAGCGTGAAACGCAAGAGATCGTTCGTCAAAGCATGCGAGACACGTTGTGAGGGGGTGGTTGGCAGCAGCGATTGCAAGATGGGATGACCTTGAACCAGGAGCTACACAAAAGTACTGTAGCAGTATGTTATGACAAAAAGACAATCAAATTTGAGATTTTGTTTTGATGATTGGAAAGTTAAGCTCACCGTCAAATCAAGACGAGTGCATTCTTCAATTATAGCTGATGCCCATACAGCATTGATGTTAGCCTTTTCTTTCAAGGAGTTGCTCACTTCAGCCTCGTGATTCAGCTGATAGCCAAAAGAAAACAGGGAAAACATTGGAAAAGAAACTTTAAATCACACCATTCAAGACTTCGGAAAATCCAGTACATCCTAATTATTTTCGCTTCTTACCATGTTGTCATGACAAAAAAAATTAGGCCATATATATATCTCTACGTACCATGTTGTTTGAGAAGACAACGTCAGGTGAAAGCTTGCAATGGAACTGAGATGATGATTGTATATTTTTCTGCAACAAAGCAGGTAAATCAAACCTTATAGAATCCAAATGGTCTAAAGAGAAGAAATTCCACTTCAAGGACGATAATTAAATTTTGAAATACAGGGATGAAAATTACCAGGGTAAAGAAGATACCAGTTCCTTGGCGTCAGCCTGATCTCTCCCAGAAAATGTGAAAAACTTCATATGCTCCTGCAAAAGTAGACATAATAATGAGTGGCATGAAAAAGGAAACTAAGTTTACATGTTTAGTCCAGGAACAAAAAAAGTTGTAAGTAGAATCCATGTGGGCGAAGCGCTCAAAACAATACTATAAGAAACTTCGTCAATTTTGCCTGATAGTCAGCTAAATCAGATCCAAATGGACCACAGATTGCTAAATTTTTGATATCAGATAACGTTTGATTGACTCTCCGAAGATGATAAGGTAATGTTTTTGCAGGAAACGATTTGATACATAAACAACTAATCAGATCTACTCTTGCATCTTCTTCAACTATTTCAAAATTAGGGGACAAGGAAACTAAGTAAAGCATGTACCATCTGAACTGGATGTATCTCTTTTACACTAAACTTTGCAAGAGAACTTTTCAGATGTTTGAACCAATGATCCTCTAAATTTGGGCAGAAATGACTAGAAACCTGCAAGAAAATGAGCCAAAAGTGAGTTTAACGAGAAAAACAGGACAACCAAGAAACAGACCTAATCAAGAAATCTTAAATAAGAAGAGTAGCAATTATTAAAAACACTAAATTTCCATTTGATTGACAGAAGTAAAACACATCTGCACTAACAATATATAAATTTCCATTTGATTAACAGTTTTGCATATATTGTTTAGTGTCCTCAACCTCAAGATATATCATGATGCTTTGGACATGAATAACAAAATAGCAGATACTAAAAGTAAAATGTACGGACATCAGCATACCTGAAAAACTGATTTCTCATATGAACTAATCATTTCCTCAAATCTGTAAGGGAGAGAATCATTCCATGCCAGTGTTACTGCTAATATAGAGACCTCTTCGTGCTCATCTAACTCAATCTGTTGAAATTTCGATAATCACACCATGTACAATGTAAGAACGCTTGTTGCAAGCATTTCATAGATCAACTACCAAAAACAAGTAAAGAGAAGTAAAATCAAAAGCTTGATGATTAACCTGGGGAACGAAGAAGTAAGAAGAGCCTTCCTTGCTAATTACAGTAGAGTGTTCGTTGAAATCAATCTCTGGGAAACCATAGGCTGTCACCATAGCTGATTCATCTGAGAGGAATCTGCAGAAGTTAGTTAGCTTAACTACTTGAAGAGAAATGTAGCACTTTAGAACAAGAGAAAGAATACTATATTGATGATTTAGTGTTGTATCCAAATGCACCCAAATGAAACTAAAACAAACTTAAGTACAGAAGCAAAAAAAAAAAAAAAACCTACGTTTTCATCGTGCTATGTCCCTTGGAGTCAATTGAAGACGGATGAACGAATGAGAATGCGTTTCCGATTCCAAAAACCCCATGAGGTTCCTTTACATAAAGTGATTTATAAGAAGGCTTCACATTTTCCTTTGAGAGGAAAAACACAGGAAATACACCTGAAGACTTAGGTTGTGAGCAAAACCAGAACAGAGATTTTGCCCTTGGAGGCACAGCCACCTACGAAAATTCAAAACACAATTATCAAGATGATAACATATCTGCATTCACAAAATCAAAAAAAAAAAAAGTAACATCCGTACTTGAAATCGCAAGACGCCACTAGATGATTTGGGAGGATTAGTCTTGAGTTCGTCCACAGCTTCCTTGAGACTCTCAAGGCCAAGCTCGAGAGTTAGAGCTGGAGGCAATGTACGAGTCACACACACCTGGACCATTAAATCATCTTCTTCATTCACCTCTAAAGCGTCTCTACTCATAATGGGACCATCGAACTGCACTCCTTGAGCGACCTAGAACAACAGAAACCCCAGAATCAAAATTGAATACACAGAAACTATACATCGATGTTTGTATCTTATGAAAATAAACCAACCTCGATGTTTCTTCTGATTCCATGAAGGGACTTGGCGAAGGAGAATCGTTCTCTTGCTCGTCTGAAGGAGTTTCTGGAAGTGTAACGAGGGATTAGAGAAGGTAGAAACAGAGGATTCGAGGCTAGAAACGAAGAGCATGGAGATGATCGCATTTTTCTTCGATCTGAAACTGAGGATGTGAATCGCAATGGTCGATTGTGAGAGGTTTTACGAGGTTTTTGGATAAGGCACACTGGGCAGTTATAATTATACAATTATGGTTTTTAATTTGGTTATAATAATGATCGTAAATTATTCAGGAGACCGTCCCAAACCGGGAGTACTTTCTGATTTGATACTGTACTTTTAATTCTCGAATTGGTTCAGGATTAAACCGGAAAATAAAACATTCATGTCGAATTTGATATTTGAATTGGCGCAGAAAGATTGAAATTATTATTCACAGCTAGCTAAGTATTTACTCGCGCTATGCTGCGGGATATTTTTCTAGATTTATATATATTTTTAGTATAATAAAATTATTTCTATAATATAAATGAGTATTATATTTATTTTTTATTAGTTTAAGTTATATATTTATATGTTTTAAATCTGAATAAACATTATATATTATTAATTTTTTTATTTTTTAAAATTATAATCTACTATTAAATTTGTTTAGCTAACTATCTATAAATATATATGTAAGAATAAAACAATACATTCTTAAGTACATTCATGCTAATGGTAAATGTAATTTATTTTCTCTACTAAATTGCTAATTGATTCTCCTTTGAAATTATATAAAGCAAATTGTCATTTAAAAAAATATTAATTAATATGATTATTTTAAATTATAAAATTTATTTATTTATTATATATTTATTATAAACATATGTTTCTAAAACTACCAAACTATAATCAATAACATTCATATCAAAATCATTACTATTACTTTAGAACTAAATAGAAAGTTCTATATGAACTGTCAAAATATTAATTTAGTTGAAGTTAAATAATTCAATTTTGGTTACTATAAACATATTGTAACTTGAAAATTTAGCACAGAAAAATTTTATCTTTTTAAAAAAACCAAAAAATTGCATTTTCTGACAAAAAAAAAATTAATTTTCCACGAAACTGAGAAATCGTCTATTCCCGCCAAAAAAAAAAAATCATTTTCTCCTCAAACCTGAAATTTTATTTTCCTACAAAAACAAAGAAATTGCATTTTCCCTAAAAAGCAAAAAAAAAATCACATTTTCCTGCGAGAACATGTGTTTTCCCGTCAAAACAGAGAAATCAAGTTTTCTCACCAAAACCAAAAAAATCATCTTCCTGCAAAAACCAAAAAATCGTATTTTCCCGTCAAAACCAAAAAATTATTTTCCCGCAAAAATCGAGAAATCGTCTATTCCCACCAAAACAAGAAAAAACAAAAATTTCTCGTCAAATCAAGAATCACGCCTTCCTACCAAAACCGATAAACTACAATTTTTCGCGAATACCAAAAGTTGCATTATATCCTGAGAAATTGTGTTTTCCGGGAAAACTAAGAAATCATATTTTCCCTCGAAAACTAAAAAATCAAATTATATGTCAAAAACTGAAAAATTCGCATTTCCCATCAAAACCAAGAAATTATTTATTCCCGCCAAAATCGAAATTTTTTGTTTGTCTATCAACCCAAGAAATTGCATTTTCTGCCAAAATTGTCAAATTATAAATATCCGCGAAAATCAAAAAATTACATTATACATCAAAAGCCGGAAATTTACATTTTCTATCAAAACTGAGAAATTGTATTTTTCGTCAAAATTGAAAAATTGCATTTTCCTCGCTTATTCTCGTCAAAATCAAAAAAAAAATTCTTACCAAAACCAAAAATTCACATTTTTCCGTCAAACCCGAAAATTCGCTTTTTTCCGCCATAACCGAGAAATCATGTTTTTCTACCAAAACTGAAAATCACATTTTTCTACCAAAACCAAAAAATTCTCTATTCCCGCCAAACCCAAGAAATTTTGTTCTCGTTAACCAGTGGAAATGCGAATCTCTAAGCTGTGGTGGTTTGAGTTTCTCATCATTTGCTTTTGACTTCCATTTTTTTTTGTAAACTTTGGGCTTTTTAATGGGTCAGCGAAATAGTAAACTGATTTTATTAGTGTGTTAATAATATGTATTATTGTTATGTTTTTATTGGTTCAAATTTTTGCTGATGTGTGAATTTTTTATAACATAACACTTTTTGCATTGTTGTTATGGAAGCATAGTTAATGATGAGTCTACACTTTCTTCAATCATATATGTCTCTATCAAGCAAACACATAGTTAGACATTTTAATTTTTTCTGTTGTTATTTATTATTTGATTTTGGTTTGGCAAAATTATAAAACAAAGATTTAATTTTATTATTTGTTGTTATTTATTATTTGGGTTTGGCAAAAAAATAAGACAATTTTTTTTTATTTGTTGTTATTTATTATTTGGATTTGGGCTTGACCAAAAAATAAAACTAAAATTAACAATAAAAATATTTGGGTTTTTAATGGGTTTATATTTAAAAGTTAAAATAAATTGATGACTTGTATTAATGAAATATTTTTATTGGTGTTTTTTTTTTTGCTGAAGTGTAATCTTCTAAAAACTTGAAAATGCTGATGTGTCAAGCTATATATAGACATTAGTGTTATTGTTGTGTTGACTTTTTGATGGTGTGCAATCAATAATAAACGATGCATAAATAGAATCCGAAAAGTATTTATTGTTTATAAAATATATTTGATTATTTCGTACGTTTTCAGTTACGAATTTTTTTTTATGCGTTGGTTTTCTTTATTTAAAAAAAGAAAGATAACAAAAGCTTAAGAGTCGATCAAAAGATCCAAGATTTAAACGCCCTCTACGTTAAGAAACCTATTAAACCCTATCTCACCAATCATCTTCCTCGAATCGGAGTTTTCTTGTCGAAGTTTCGTGTTCTCTTCTACAACCTTGTCATAAACTTCCCTGGCTCGGCTTAGCTCATCGACCAGACATTTGTTCTTGTTGATGAGCTGAACAAGCATGGACCACAGCTCGTCCACGTGTCGCCTTTTCCTCATACGCGATCTCCGAGCTGACTCGCGGTTCGAAACCTTTCTTCTCCACTTTCGCTCATCGTCCTCTGCGCTCCGACCAGACTCGTCTGACGTGGCAAACAAGTTTACACGTGAAACTCGATGATCAAAGAACTCTGCATTAGTGGTTTCACACGGAAGGTTATAGACAAAGCCAGCCATGTCTAGAGAACAACAGTGATGTGTTTGAGTCGTGACTTATAAATTATGATAATGGTCGGCGAGATGCATTCTAATTAAGGTTTTATAGATGAATAAAACTGAGGGTAAATGACCTTACACTAATAACTATCCAGGAGGCTAAAGTGGTGTACATGTAAATTTTAAATATAATATTTCTCATTAGTGGGGTTAAAGTCTCATCTCGATCAAATTGTATTCTTAGTCATTTTTCTATGTTTGCTTTTTGGGTTCGAATATTTTTTTTTGAATAATCGTGAGCTTGATGAGTCATGAAGCACTTGAAAGTAGAGGGAATGAAGGGGACCATTACGAGAGACGATCAAATTGAGATTATTGTTAATTATTCTAAGGGAGAAAGCGTGAGAGGCAGCAACTCGTCGACGCACAATGTTTCTTCTCTAGGAGTAGGAACCTTCCTACCATAATTACTTTTTATAAAGAGTATTACTAAATTGATAATCCAATGGTTTTTGAAATTTGTGGGTAATAATGTAGCATAAAGTTACTTACTCCCTTTACATAATCTATAGAATTATATAGTTGAGAACTGACGAATTTTAGTGCAATGGCGAGAGTTATCATTAAGCTTTTTCTACGCCAAACAAGTATTTACTTCGTCGCTTACTTCATCTTCACTTTTTGAATATTTTTTCAGTTTTATATCTTCTCCGTTGTAATGGCACTTGTCTCTTCTTTGTATTCCGATGAATTGGTTCTCTATTTTTGTGAGCTTGTTTTTGGTTATGAATAGAATATGTTTTGATTATTTTTGCTAATATAAATCTTAACACCAACCAACAGAAAAGGTTAAGAAATCTAACAAAAACTTTCAAGGGACAAGTTTTAATCCGTGATGCACACTTGCGATTTATGTTCGAATAGGTAAGACGTGTTTTGCAATATCATCTATTAGTTGAATTAGACAAGTTTGATTATAATAAGAGTACAATTAATATTCCCATTAGTCGTCAGTCATTAGAGACAATGAATTTGGCCATCGATAAAACCCATATTTGTGCTTTAAGCCTTAAACTAAATCATCCAGTGACGTAAGTAGAGTGATACTTGAGGTATCGGATTGGTTAAATTTGCAGCTCGCGTAAGCTATCTAGCTTCAGACTTTAGTAGATCGTAATTTAGTAGCACTAATATTGATAACTGAAAATAAATTTTGATTATTATATAGATTTCTTAACAAAAAGAGTAGATTAGTATTATTTTTTTCTTTGAACTTAAAAAGATTAGATTATTAATGTTTGATTTTTATCTATTACAACGAAGTTTCATTGATCCACTTGAATCCACTTAGTGCCATGATGCAATCAAGCATAAATAAAAAAACGTTCAAAAACTCGAGAATGCGAGAGACAGCCATTGCAAACGAGTCCTATTCCAACATTAATAAAACTAATTAGTTTTTCTTACCTCACCAAAATACTGTTGAAGTACGAGAAATATCGGTCATATACACCCCTAGACTTGTGATGTAGTAATAATACAAGAAAAACAGGAAACCTTAACACACAAATGGGGAAAAAAATTATTTGGATTATTTATCGACCAAACCAAATGATGGAAAAGTGACTACGCAATTTTTTTTTAATTTTAGTTAATTGAATTAACTTTTTGGAAATAAAGTAGAAATATATTCTGACTTAAGTTTTTTAATAAGAAATAAAATTTTAACTAAGAAAATTATAATTAACTTAAACCTTTATCTCGTTAGCATAAAATTATAGACGATTAGACGTGTTAGAGCATTCACAATGGAGAGTTTGTCTCAAGCTCTTAAATTGAAAAAAAAAATATAAATGACATGGACAAGTTTTGGAAGAGAACTGATTCTCTGCAGAGAGTTGGAAGAGTCGACTCTTCCCAATTTTCGACACATGTCATAATATGATTGGTCAATTTTTTTTACGAAAATTGATTCTTTTTTTATTTAAAAAAATCCTTTTTTAAATAATAAAAATTTTGGAAGAGCCTCATGTGTGGGACTCTCCATTGCTGATGCTCTTAGACTGCATGTCTGCTAAACCATCTCCATCGCTTAAGATACCTTTTAGGGTAGCATTAAAATTTAAATTATGAAAAAAGCAACCAATTATTAACAAGTATTTGTGAGAAACGTCTTTTGTGATCTATTCAACGAGAGACGGTTCTGTTCTCTCTCCTACGTTTCTCTTTTTTTTTTTTAATGTTGAGATACAGTGTGAAAAGCATCTCCATCAAGGAAAATTATTCATTTAATTCCTCAAGTATTTGCAATCGGCAAATTTATTTTCTAACTATCATATGTGCAGATTAAATCCTCAACTTAGTATTGACTTCACAAATTTAGGCATGAGAAAAGTTAACGAAGAAAACAGAAACGTTACCGTTGACTTTTCTCAGTCTAATTTTGCAAGGTCAACATAAACTACAGAAATTAATTTGCCAAATTAAAAGTTAGGAAATTAATCTGCACAATTAGAAAAACTTGAAGAATTAAATGATCATTTTTTATTTAGAAAATTATGATTATTTTTATAAATAAAAATTATTTGTAGAATACCATCAAATACATTTAAATTTTTTTTATTATATTATATTTTCTAATAATCATAAGAATCCGAAGAATGAAACGGATTTGGAAAAATTTCTTACCCAAAATCTCTTCTCAAACTCCCAGTAATTTGAGTAAAGATCAACTTCAAAACATATATTTGGATAATTTCGGAGAAATTTAGAAAATTTTGGAATATTTAAGAACTATATATATATATATTTTGGACAGGTAATTAAGGTATATTATCTCTTTGAATAAAATAAATAATCATGATTGATAGGAAAATAATCATCGGTTGATAATAAAATACTACCATATACTAAAAAAGAAAGATGAAAATAAGTGAATTTGATGAAAATTATTTCTTCTAATAGAGTGATCATACCAATGAATGTATGATAAAAGAATAATCATTGGTTGATAACCAAAAACTTTGTCAGTAAAAAGAAATTACCAAAATTAAATACACATAATTTTTAAATTTTATTCATAACAACAGAAAACATAATATAATAAAAATAATATTTTTTAAAAAAATACTTGATGGTATTCTACAAATAATCATGATTTATGAAAATAATCATAATTTTTTAAATAAAAAAATTATCATTTAATTCCTCAAGTTTTTGTCATGCAGATTAATTCCCTAACTTTCAATTTGGCAAATTAATTCCTCAAGTATATGTTGACTTTGCAAAATTGGACTGAGATATAAAGTTAAAGGTAACGTTTCCGTTTCTTTTTTAACGTTGATTTTTATCATGCCTAAATTTGCAAAGTCAATGTTAAGTTGAGGATTTAATCTATACACATGATAGTTGGAAAATAAATTTACGGATTGCAGATACTTGATGAATTAAATGAGCAATTTCTCTCAATGGAGATGCTTTAAGACTAGGCTTGAATTTCTTGCAAATGCATGCATTATTATTATATAGGTGTTTGTTTAATTCCCAGATTTCTGTTACATCTCCCATGATAATGTCATGTTGGTTTTGAAAATAAATCTTTTGGATAATCACCATAATTCCCAATTTTATTGTTATGTTTTTACTTTCAAATTCAAAAGTCAAGATCACAAAATTAACTAGAGTTACTACCTATTAATTAGAATTCAAAAGTGAAGACCTCAAAATTAATTAGAGTTATTATCTAGCATTTAATCACACGTCAAAGTCAAAGTATGAAATGCCAATGTGGTGTTTCTAGATAATCAGTTAGTTTAAAATATTGGCTTTGAAATTTAAATAAAGGTAAATAATATTTTCTATTAAAATATTTCCTTATACATATGTTTGACCAAATATAAAAACCCACATTCTCATGAACAAATGTTTTTATTTATGAATTCAAAAGTCAAAGATCTCAAAATTAATTAGAGTTATTATAAGGCATAATTAGACGGGTAGAATTAAAAAAAAGTGAAGATCTCAAAAACACTAAAATACACACTATGAAGTATGAAATGCCAAACAGAGGTAATTAATCTTGTAGTGTTCTTATTAATTTAAGATATTGACTTTGAATATAGGTAAATAATGTTTTCAATTAAATTGTTTCCTTATATGTATTTGACCAAATATCTATAAAACCACGTTCTAATGAACACTACTACTCTCATCCTTACAGTTGCATTAGAAGACAAGAAAGATGGACGGCGTAGGAAAGGTGGTCTGCGTCACCGGAGCTTCCGGATATGTAGCGTCTTGGATTGTTAAGCTTTTGCTTCTCCGTGGCTACACCGTCAGGGCCACCGTTCGAGACCCAAGTTTGTTTCCAATTCTCTCTCTTTCTTTATCTACAGACAAACATATCATCAACACAAGTAAAAGAAGAATATAACTAATTAAAGAAGCTATCTTCAAGTGCACTTTGACCTATATGTGTTTTTTTATGCAGATGATCAGAAGAAAACGGAACATCTTCTTGCACTTGATGGCGCAAAAGAAAGACTCAAATTATTCAAAGCAGATCTTTTAGAAGAAGGTTCTTTCGAGGAGGCAATCAATGGATGCAGTTATGTCATCCACACCGCTACACCGGTTTCACTCGATGCCGTTGATCCTCAGGTTCGTCTAACGATATCGCTTTGTTCTGACCAACACAATCCTTACTAGTTTACTTCATCAATGCATGATATACAGTTAATAATACGAGGAGACACAATAATACACAAATGATAACCAATTGATTTTGAGTTAGAAACGTAACCATATACTATGGATTTTGCAGGCTGAACTGATCGATCCAGCAGTCAAGGGAACATTAAACGTCCTAAAGTCTTGTAAAAGGTCTTTGGTCAATAGGGTCGTCTTAACGTCGTCCATGGCCGCTATTATTGCTCATGATCCGTGCCCTAATGGAACAAACGACGTAGCAGATGAAACCACCTTCTCTGATCCAAAGTTTTGTGAAAAGAAAAAGGTCTTCAAAAATTAATGTTACCAACACATATCAATGAGTTCATGAGAAATCGCATTTTGTGGTTCTTACTTTTTTTTATCTTCCTTTTTCAGCTGTGGTATGCACTTGCCAAGACTTTGGCCGAAAATGCTGCATGGGAGCATGCAAGGGACAATGAGATCGACTTGGTTGTAATGAATCCAGGACTTGTGATTGGACCAGTCTTGCATGCATCTCTTAATTTCTCAGTAGGTGTGGTTGTGGGTCTTATAAACGGTAAGGATCCTTTTAATAGTGGACAGTATAGGTTTGTGGACGTGAGAGATGTTGCTTTGGCTCATATCAAGGCCATCGAGGATTCAGCCGCTAGTGGTAGATATATCATTGATGGTCCGGTTGTGAAACTAAATGATGACATTGAGAAAGTTTTGCGCGAGTTCTATCCTGATTTGTGCTTTGCTGATGAAAAGTGAGTTTTTTCTTTGGTTTTTATATCATTTATAATTATGTTATGGTTCTACAAATTAACAATTATATTTCGTTTTTGATTTAATTTTAGGAAAAACGTAGGCATGTTTGAGCTTGATTTAGTGACGTACAAAGTGCGTGTGGAGAAAGTTAAATCTTTGGGAATTGAGCTCACTCCTATGGAAACAAGCCTTAGAGACACTGTTCTTAGTCTCAAGGAGAAATGTCTTGTGTGATGTGATCCTCTTTATTATGTTGTTGTACTTTATATTGATTGCACTATTGATCTGTACTTTTGCAATCAATATATGGTTCATAAATATTTGCATTTCTTTAAAACTCTAATAATATTTCGTTATAATGATTTTAAAATTTTCATCAAGATTCACAGTATTTTTATTTTATAAGTTAAATTATTAACAAACTATGTCTCGATAATACTAAATTTTGATAAAATGATAAAATCATTAAATTTAAAAATTTTGAATAAAACGACAAAAACACTTTTCTTAATATTTGTGAATTCATCTAAAACAACTTATACAGTAAAATCTCTATAAATTAATACTCGATAAATTAATAATCACTATAAATTAATAATTTTTGCCGGTCTCAAGTCGGGTCAGTGTAAAAATTAACAAATTTCGATACAATAATAAGATAATATATTTTTTGAAACTCCTATGTAAAAATATAGTCCCAATAATTATATAAATTAATAATTATATATTTAAGCATATATAAATAATATAATATAGTAAAATATAATTATATTATTGTTTCAAGTTTATAAAAATTGTTTGACTTATTTTTTAAATTCACTGATATGATATTTTCTGAATAAATTTTACAATGTTAAAAATATTTTTTTTTGTTTTTTTACAAATATTTGAATTTGAACCGAAATATCTCTCTATAAATTAATAAAATATTAATTTCTCGATAAATTAATAATTATTAATCTATCGATTAATTAATAACTCTAAAAATTAATAAATTTTTACAGTTCTAACATTATTAATTTATAGAAGTTTTACTGTAATTTGAAACATAGAGAGTAAAATTTTGTATAGAATTTAGAAACTATCAAACCATAAACAGAATTTTGTAACCAATAATAATAGATTCTAAAAAATTAACAAGAAAGAAAATTTATCCCCAATAATCTTAGTCTCTAATCATTATTTTTACTGTATTTTATTTTTGTTTATATTAAACCATGTAATAAATGGAAATGGATACGGAGAGCATTTGTTTTTCTGTATATATTAGTCTCTCGATTTTTTATTAGATGATGTTTTAGAATTTATGTTTTGTTCCAAAATATATGATGTTCTCAAATTTCTATGAAAAATTAATTATGTTTTTGTTGTTTTAGCTGTTTTAATTATAAATTTTATTTTTCTATTGGTTGAACAGTTAGGAATTGATAAAAAAAATATATTTTATTTTAAAAAAATAAAAAATTAAATAATTTCTTAATCATACATAGAAAGGGGAGAGAGTATTATATAATTGGGATTGTTCAAAGGTGTCGTAAATTCGAGTTTATCACGTAACGTGGCAATGAGACTTTCACCGTTCCCGAGGAACATTGCGATGCATTCTGTTTCACCTTCTCCTCTTCTTCTTCCTCCAAAATCTAAACCATTTCTAGAAATCTGAAGATGATGGGAATAATGAGCATTCAGACGGCGATGGATCTGATAGTCGCCGGATTCTCTCTGATGATCGGATTTGGATTCTTCGCTCTCATCGCCTCTGTCCTCTGCTCCTTCGCTTTCCTCCACCATCTCAAAGGCGCTCCTTCCGATCCCGCCCTCTTAACTTCTCGCCGGAGATAATTTCGTAAGATATCTTCCTTTTTCTATTTTTTTTTCTCCGATCTGGTCACTTAAAAACCTGACCGGGTCAATGAGTTCGTTGCTTTTCAATTGTAAACAAAATTAATTCGACATTAATACATTCAAACATAATTATTTAAAATTTCGCAGATCAATATTTATTGTGACAGATAAGTTATAACGCAACGTTTATTAATTATCTCTACATTTTTCAGTAAAACCAGAGACGAACTTGGTGGGGAGACAAGATTTGCTCACAAAGGCTTCTCTAAAACTTTCTACTTGTACGAGAAATTGTAATCGAAATTTGAAAGAAAAATAAAGTTAGAACACCTCGCGAATTGTGTATTGTGTGCGTAACATGTTATTTACTGAACTGAATTAAATTGATGCGTAATATTCGAACTTATTTTTATCATTAATTCAATCGTATGAGAAAGAAACTGTATGAATAAACTCTATATTTGGTATTGAACAAGCATATATATTACTGGTTTAATGCGTATTCTCTAGTTTATATAATCTTGTGATGATATCTCTCAGTCTAGTGAGATTTTATTAGGCTATATATGTTTATTGATACAAACTAAAGGCTAAAACTTCATTAGGCTAGTAATTAGTTGTGGCTTGTGGGTGCCATTGCAGCTTCTTTCACTTTCTTGAAATCATCATAGTTACTGTTGACATTGTGTTCCAAGGTCTCTGGTATGAAATCAACACTCGACGAGTCTTCTGCTGCCTTCTTCTTGCTTACGAGAGACTCGTAAAGACTCTTGTCTAAATGCAAATGGAGTGCACCACATGATCCAGACCAGCAAGTCAGAGGTTTACAGTACATGGTCTCTCTGTAACCAATTCTGTTCATGTTACCACCATTATATGGAATTCTGCCACCACCACCGAATTGGACTCTGCTGCCACCAGCTCCTCTAATGCAGAGACCGGGAAGACAGAACCCGCCGTCGTAACCAAAGTGATTCCCAACAGACCATTTCTGGTTTATGTTAGGGGATGCAGCTGCTAAGCTCAGTAAAAGTGTTAGTGAGAAGGAAATGAAAATGTATTTGACTTCTGTCATTTTTTAGATTTTGGTGTTAATAGTGGAAATCTGAGAAGGATTAATGGCTTTTATATAGTTATTAATATAGTGTCATGCTTTTGTCATTAGGCAGTAAAATAAGCAGAAAATGTGGGCAATGAAATGAGAATTTATTTTGGAATAAGAGTGTCGTGTTAACGTTATTAGGGAGGAGATTAAGGATATTTGTAAGTTGTCGTACTGAGTTGTCTTCAAGTGATTTGATTTTTTTTTTACATTTTCAGCAATTTTTAAGATCAAGAGTGCTTGAGACAATCTATTTTCAGGTTTCAGACAATCTTACACTGATATGCTAATTGGTATATAACTCTTCTCTTTATGATAATGGAGTTTTAATTTCATTAATTGATTGTACCAGTTTCTTGAAGATAACGATATTTTTGAAATGCTTGGTTCTTGGCCTTTGGTTCGTTTGGGCTCTCTACGGTCTTGGTGAAGCTGAAATTAGTAGACCAGGTCCAATGTGTTGTGAGCATTTTTACTCAGTCACATTCTCTACACATTTTGTGGGTCATAGAATTAGATTGGACGACCCTAATATCATTATCATCTACCTGTTTATTGCTTATGCACGTGCATGGTGGATTTGAGATTACAATGGTCGAAAGTGACTTGAGAATCACATCTACGTGAGGGCGGTCCTCTCCTTTGCAAGCTGCCAGCTAAATCTCTTTTGTTGTTTTCTCTTCCCAAAAATTCAATGTGGTGCCTCTCAATAAGCTTCAAACTTTTCAGTCATTTTCTTAAACTTAAAAAACTATTTATACAATTCACCAGCTTTTGACTTGTATGCATCAATTGACTGTTATTGAGCTTTTGGCTTTTGTTTTTTTTTTGGAGATTTCTTTGATAGATACATTTTTATTTACTGTTTGTGAACAGAAAGAAGCTACATGGTTCCTACTGTGTTAAAAAGGTGGAGAAGAATATCACAAAACAGTTTTTTCTAATTATTTTTTTGGATCTTGTCTTAACTCTTTTTCTGATGTGAAATAGTATTTTTATGAATTATGGTTTAAAGTTGATAATGACATATTTTGAATGATTGAAATTTGATTCATTTGAAGGAAAAAAAAAAGAATCATGTGAAGGCATTGAAAGCAGCAGGACTCACTGTTAACAGGCAAAGCTATGGTGTGTTAGCTACTTTGGGGCCACACCTATAGAACAATTTGGTAAACCTTAGAAACTCCTGTTTTGTCATTTTATCCCAAAAACTCAAATCGTTTGGATCTGAATTTTGTTTAAATATATGGTTAATAATTAAAACGTTTGCTTTTCAATGGCTACTGATTCTTGAATTTGTTTCACCTTCTTGATTGCTTCTTTGTTGAAAGATGCAAATCAGATAACACATGTTTCCCTTTTGTGTTAAGAACAGAGTATGTGTGGAAAAAAGTAGATATTATTAGGATAGGATAAGTTACAAGAACGGAGTTTGCTTTAAGCAAAAACATAATCCCGTTAAAGAAAGCAATGCAACTACACACATACATCTCAAAATGAGATTAAACAACTACATGTTCTTCTTTTTTTCAATTGAGCCAAAGAGGAAACATTTGATAGCAATAGAAAGAAAGAAAAAAAAAAACCAGTATTGAGTCTTATTTGTTTTTGCTCACCTTACCTCTACTTTGAACACGACTAGCTACAGTGTTTCTTGTTCTTGCCTTGAGCTCAGATTCCTCTTCTTGTTCGCTGAATTTGTCACAAGCTCTTGTATTCTTTGTCTGATGATTGACTTGTTTGGCATTACTATTCTTTGCAGCTGCATGATTCTTGGTATTTCTCGGAAGCTGAGTGCTAGGCCATGAAGATGCATCAGAAGTCATCGAGTCATCGCTCCCATTGTCGCTACTATCATCATCACCACCATCTTCACCATCATCATCAACCTCTTTTGCGCGGAAATCATCATCATAGTCTTCATAAACAACACCAGAGCGATGATGGTTTCCATGGAAAGTGTCTTCTATGTACATAGTCCATCCTGATTCACAACTACTCTTCTCCTCAGAACCTCCATGGATTCTTGGAGACTCCATTGCTAACACAAAAACTTAACTTGGCTTTGTTTTTTTTCTTTATTTAACGTTTACGTACCTCAGCTTGTCTTCAATCTCTTTACCCTCTGATATAGCCTCTGTGTCTCTCACTGTCTCTGGCTTTGCTCTTCATAACCAATTAATACTTTTGTCTGATTTTCTTTCTTTTATTTTTCCTTTCTTGTGTTTAAAAGAATCATGAAAAGCCGGAGCCTATTGAATCACTCATATAATTGAATACCAAGATTGAGTCACACCACATGGCAATATTAGCACCATTGTCTTAGCTCAATTGAAGCACTACAAGACAAGCCATTTTCAGATATATATGAAGGAGAAAAGTTAGTAGCTCCTTCTTCAAATAAAAATAGTACACTTCTATAATAAAAAAAAAAGATTTTAATTCTCTTTCTTTTATAGAGATAATCTTATAGGGAATTGAGTATTATAGTTCCCAAAACACGGTTCGAACCGTAGAAGAGACAGAAGACATCAATACCCACCAAACCAAAGTTATCTGTTTTGAGCTCTCTCATTAAGTGATGTGTAAGCAATGCTCATTGGTTAACACTCTCACCTTTTTGTTTTCTTCTTTTTCTTTTTGTTGATAAGAATAACGATATGGATATTAGTAGACACAACATTTACTAGTTTTTACTTCTCTCTCTCTCTCTTTCATTCACTGAGCTACAATCAATCTCACAACTACAAAAAAGACCAGCTTTTGAGGTGGGAATCAGATGAGACCCACTCAACAAACAAGAAGGAATATGAAATCCATTTTCTTAATTAGGCTAGGAGCTGTTCCTCTTCCTCATTCCTTTAATACTCTTTCTTCCTTCCAAGTCCTGTCTTGGTCATAAAAAGTGTTGCAGCCTTTTGCATTGTGGTCATTTACTTCTATTCTTGAGGAAAATGACAAAACAGAGATTAGTAAAAAAAAATTGTTTCTGTGATGGCTTATTGGCTTTTGCATTCTTTTTTTCCTTTCTTTTTTTAACAGTTATTGGAATCCAATATTGGTTACAGGCTTACAGCTAAGCAAAATCAAGTGTGGGAGAATCTATGTATACCATTTTAAAAACGGGTATAGTGTTAGTAAGACTTTGACCCTTCTTTTGTGCATTTAAGTAATTTCAGTTTTGGACTTTATGAAAATTTGATCCTCATAGTACAGATAATAATACGCATTGTGGGTCTAACGAGTGGAGATATATTGGGATTTATTAGAATTGTACGCATCGTTAATGCCTCCAAGCTTTGTTTCTTTTGGGGGACTCCTTGGATTTTCTCATGTGGGTCTTTTGTACTATCTTTCATCCTACACGTGTGAGTACTGTTTTTCTTTTATGTCTTTGTATTTCATTAGTAATGTGATTAGCTTATTACAATACTCCAATATTGATAATTCTTGTTTCTTTTTGAATTTTGACACTTAAGGTGGGTGAGTAGTAGTTGAGAAACAAAAAAAAAAAGACCATTTGGATTGGCTTCTCTTTCACTCTCAGTCTCTCATATATATTGATGGGTTGGTTCTAGAATATAACGTACTTATGTTGTTAGTAAATGATGAGTTGATAAACGTACTACTAATGATGCTTAGCAGTAGTAATCTCAAACATAAACTAGTAGTAATATGTCTTTATAATGGGTTGCGGTTAAAAAAGAAAGTGGGTATGTCCCTTAGTACCAAACTTTTGCTTTACTTTGAATGCCTGCTTTTGTCAGGTATACTTTCCCTATGGATCCATTTGTCTCTTACTCATAAGTCTCCCATGTGAAATTGTATGTTTTGTATCTATATGTTATTATGTGTATATATATACTTTGGAAACTTCTCTCATTTAAATTAGACACACCACTATACTTGTTAAAGCCTTTTTTCATGATTTGGTTGCCATCTTAGATAAGATGACAAAAAAAACTCTGCTGTAACATCATACCTTTCGATTAGATTTCTCGGCCCAAATTTTTTTTGTATTATTTTTTTCTCTGTATCATACTATCATGGTATCCAAAAACTGCAATAATTGAATATATTTATTGGTTTCACAATTTTCTACTTTCACCCTTTGTTTTTGTTTTTTCCAATTTTTTGAATAGTGTGTTCCTAATCTTCTAATGAAATCATATATCAGTTAGATGAGAACGTATTTAAGTTAAGACAGTAGATCTTGTAAATTGTGATTGTGAACTACTATTACTAGTTATCCTGAGTCGAACTCGACTTAAACCAAAAAGAAATGACATAAATATATGTTTAAGTTACAGATTGTCTGTGACATAAAGAAAAGGAAGGTACCAGGTTTAAGCTTTTTAATCAAGAAAGATTATGTTATTGTACTTATGACACTGCTTGATTCATTATGGAACTTATAACATTATCGAACAGCTTCACTCTATTCAACTCGTCTCGTGCTGGTTTTAACCGCATTGTTCTTCATGGATGAAGAAAACATTACACAAGTAGCTCTATTGAAGTAAATGCTGATTGATTGTTTTCTAAGATAACAAAAGCAGTTCCAACTTCCAAAAGAGCACAATCACTTCAAAACACTTTCGTTTGTTTTTTGTAATAAAAAAAAAAAAAAAAAAAAATTGGCCCATGCAGGTTTCGAACCTGCGACCTTCGCGTTATTAGCACGACGCTCTAACCAACTGAGCTAATGGGCCTTTTTGCTTATTCATGCAGATATGTAATAATATTTGTGATTTAACATTCTGATGGCTTAGATGGTAAAGACTAGTTGTCCAATATGAATAGTAGGGGCTAATTTCATGGAAGATGGAAACTATTAATATATAGACATTATATGAAACTGAAAGTAAATATAAAATTCTATTATTATAATGAAAAAACGAAGAAATGAAGAAGAGAGTTTGTTTTGTTGGCATTCAGATTCAAATCATAACATCTCCTACCTTTACCAAAACCACCTAACACAAGTTTTTTTTTTCCAACTACTGCATCCCTGCCGTATATAAACCTAGTTTTTAACCGTTTTTGAGACTGAACATATTTAAAATAATTTTCAAAAAAAAAAAAAAAAAGTTGACGACAATTAAATAAATTAAAGCGTTAGCAAAGATCGTTGGACTACGTCGTTATTATTTTATAATTTTGAAGCTTCTTTTGAATTCGTCGTATAATTCAAGATGACGCCAAAGAGTGGATCATATATTCTTTCCTACTTTTTGATCTTTCGTCATTTGGGATAACAAAAACAGAGCACGAAATGAACACTTGCCAATATTAGTTCTAAACAAAAGATATAAGCTAACATTCATACCAAAAAAAAAATATATATATATATATAAGCAAAAGATTTAAATGAATAACGCCAAAAAATGATTCGTGTAACTTATTGGCAACCCACACATATCTCATCATGATGTAAGTACTATGCAAATTTTAGGCGGTTATAGATTCAAATTCACCAGTATTTGTTCACAATGTAAGTTTTGATGTTAAATAACTGTGATCGGGGTTTATAAATTTATAATTAGTGTTGCGGTCGTGCCATAACCCACGTTCAAATCATGTTTGAAAATGTTGAATTTCATGAATGGTATATATATATATATATATATATATATATATAAAAGAATATTGATGCTCAAATATATAAAAACAGTTGAACAAATTACTAAACAAGACTTCTAGATTGTTTCAAGAATCAATTTTAATGAACATGGTACATTTAATGGTAATATAATATTCTAGTTTGGTAAATCATCTGTACTACTATTCAAATAAACTTTCATCTAAAAAATTTTGGGTCATAGGAAAACCCAACAACCATCTCACGAAATTAGTTGCATCTCACTTGGCCAACTTCTCAAGACCCTTGTGACACAAGAAAACTAAAACCCTACTTCTTTCAAACTTATATATCTCTTTCAAGTCCCAACCATCTTTCTCTAACTCCTTACCTCCAACAAACACTTTTACATTTTCCCCACACACAAAAAAAAGGATCAAAAGGGTTTGAAAAGAAGAACTATGAAACTCCTCCTTGTGATCCTTATCGTTCACGCCATCTCTATCCCCTGCTTTTCCTTTGATGTATTGGGAAAGGATCTTCCTTTAACCCTAGATTATTACAAGTCTACTTGCCCTACCGTATTTGACGTCATCAAGAAAGAAATGGAATGCATAGTGAAAGAAGATCCTCGAAATGCAGCAATTATTATCCGTTTACACTTCCACGACTGCTTTGTCCAAGTAAGTATATATTCATCCATTTCTTGCTTGTAACACAAGAAATCATCCCGCCTCTTTTTTTCCCTGATTCAGTCGAATTGAACACTTCTTCTTCCCAAAAAGGAATCTCATAATACATAAAGATGTATCGTGTTAGACTTTTGATGAAAAAAAGACATAGTTTAGCTGAAATTCATGGTATGAATATATATAGTTACTTACTTTAAGGTTTCTTCAAATTGTATTTGCAGGGATGCGATGGATCGGTGTTGCTAGACGAAACAGAGACATTACAGGGAGAGAAGAAAGCTTCTCCGAACATAAACTCATTGAAAGGATACAAAATCGTAGACAGAATCAAGAACATAATCGAATCCGAATGTCCTGGAGTCGTTTCTTGCGCTGATCTTCTCACAATTTCTGCTAGAGATGCTACAATCCTGGTACATAATACTTTACATATTATATAGTATCATATGATGAATTATGAAACGAAATAACATTATGTAATTTTGGTTTGATTAAAAAGGTTGGTGGGCCTTACTGGGACGTTCCTGTGGGAAGAAAAGATTCAAAGACAGCAAGCTACGAGCTCGCGACAACGAACCTTCCAACTCCTGAAGAGGGTTTAATAAGCATCATCTCCAAGTTCCATTATCAGGGTCTCTCTGTTGAAGACATGGTCGCTCTCATTGGTAAGATCAATCCTTATTTAACCGATCACTAAACCGGAAAATTAATTTTGGTAATTGTAACATTAAACCGATCACTAAAACTCTAAAAATTTGGTCAAAATCTTTTTATAGGAGCTCACACGATCGGGAAGGCGCAATGCCGGAACTTTCGATCGCGGATCTACGGAGATTTTCAGGTGACGTCAGCTTTAAATCCGGTGTCGGAGGCGTACCTGGAGAGCCTCCGAGAGATTTGTCCGGCGAGCATCGGAGAAGGTGACAGCAACGTGACGGCGATGGACAACGTGACGCCGAATCTGTTCGACAATTCGATCTACCACACGCTGCTGAGAGGGGAAGGGTTGCTGAATTCGGATCAGGAGATGTACACGAGCATGTTCGGGATACAGACGCGGCGGATTGTGAGCAAGTACGCGGAGGATCCGGTGGCTTTCTTCGAGCAATTCTCCAAGTCGATGGTGAAGATGGGGAACATTTTGAATTCGCGGAGCTTCGTCGATGGAGAAGTTCGAAAAAACTGCAGATTCGTGAATACATGAAAACATCATTCACCAGCAACAAAACTATTTGCGATAATTGATTTGATTTATAAAAAAAAAGAAAAGGAAATCGATCTTGTTCTTCTTCTTATCCCTAACTTTTTAAATTTGAATTTATGGTGATCATGCAACAAAATGAATACAAAAAGAAACATCATGATAATGGTATACAGTTTATTTTATGTTTTGAAAACCTGATTGCAATATTTTATATCATTTAAATTATTTATTTGAAACATAATTTTGTTCCGGTAACCAAAAGTGGAACTTACAAACAATTTTTTGTAGATTCCAAAATCCACTACAAAAGTGTCATTTGGAAGTTAAAAATAAAAAAATAAAAATAAACCAAGCTTAGGGCCAAGATCTTCTTGATTAATTGTTTACCTCATTATAATCAATTTTAATTATTTACTGTTGTGCAAACAAATTTTCGGTTATTCTTTATTAGGTCATTCATTTGACATACCAGTCAAACCATTTATAAAAAATTGTACAAAAAATTATAGCAATCTTTAAAAAAATTTAAGGTGGATCATGTGACAACCAAAACAAGATCATGCTCGTGTAACTACAAAATCAGAGTTTCTAAGCATTTATCAAGAAAACTGGAGCTAAAGATATCAAGACTCGATATCATCATCAAGCCCTTGGCTTCGGTTTATAAATAATAAGTAAACACTTGAAGCTGCAAACAACAAAGTGGACACTTTTGAGACTCTTGAATCCAGTCTTCAATGCAGCGAGTGTGGAAAATATGAGAACAAGGAGAAATAACGGTTGCCTTCTCCCCAAGAAAGAAACCTTCTTGGCATATGCAACATGTGCCAAACAAATCCATATCAGGGCCACGAACCCAAACCATCTCGTGCTCATCTTCAGAACGCAATGTTAACTTGGAAACCGAGCTTTTCACACTTTCTATCAACGACTCGATATAAAAATCTGAGAACTGAGAGGTCAAACCGAGCTCACCGATCGCATCTCGAGCAGTCTTCATCAGTAAATCGTCTGACTTCCCTAAAGGCTAGCCTATCTTTTCAATAACCTCAAGAGTAACGGTGTCACAATAATTCTCATCTTTGGCTTCTTCAAGCATAGCCTCCATATCCACTGGTGGTACCATTATTGTTTTCTCGACAGAAACCATGTAAGGAACCCATCTTTTCTTCGACCAACTCTTCCTCTGCTTCATTACTCGACCCACGAGGCCATTGACGATGCTGGCCTTATCCTCTTCCGTTAACTTCGCCAAAGGTGAGATATTATCGATCTCAAGCGCTAGAACATCCTTAATGACTCGTGTCGGGAAGCAAGGGAACCGGAACCAGTAATTATGCTCACTCTTCGACAAGGAACGAGACAGTTTCTTGCCGCCCCACTCATGTTCGCTAGCGTAAATAACATCAACACAGACCCCTACAAGGAACTGAGCGTAAGTAACTGTCTCCTCGCACCCGAGACCCGGTTCAATCTGAGAGTAGTGCGTCTTCACCGGTAAACCGTTACCAAGTAATTTAGGGTCGTATCTAAGCCATGGCCCATACACATTCGTTCTAAACTCGCGTGTCAAAGGTCTCGTCTTCGCGACTTCTCCACACTCCCTGTGGCTAACCATGCCGCAGTTTTTACAGAACTCACCAAGATTCTTGTACTTAAACTGAACGAACGGACGCCTACGACCTCTACCATTGATGTAAAACCCGGGAGGGAGAGGTTTTTTCAGATTTATATCAGCTTTAACCCAAAAGCATCTTGTTGAAGAGTCATACTCAAACGAGTCAGACGGAAGCGATGGGTCATCACTAAGCTTTTTCACAATTTTCTCGGCATCTGCTTCTGTGTAGTTAAAATGGGGCA